CACGGAGCAACGAGCTGAAAAATATCACGTTGTTGTCAGGCCCATCAGCCACAAATCACCCGTATCTATTGGCCATAAATAATGCCCGATGTTAGCGAGACAAGTAAATTATTAGCGCCTAAGGTGACTCTAGAATATTTTTCCATTCTTGTTTGGTAGAATGTTTGCTTCGTTTCACGCCAGCCTGTAATTTCTCACGTATATCGTTTGCTTTGAAGACAAGTGCGATACTCTGGCTAAATATATGAGATACACGTACACAACCCCGTATGAATTATGACTTTATAAAATTTAACACTTAATAATACATTGGGCTTTCAGCACAACGAAAACGGTCCCTAACCGACCCCATTGGCAAACATAATCATTCCGACAAATACGTTATTTTGTTGGCTCGAATCTTTTTTCTCTAAATAAATAATTCGCCTGTATAATTAAAAACAACTGCTACCATAATTCAGTGAATGTTTACTTTCAGCTGTCTCGTTTGCGAAATCGTTAAAAAAATGTTTTTAAAATAGCGGAACACGTTTTCGAGTCGTACATAATTGCTTCTGACGAGTTTAACGTCTCAGGGACTCCAAAAAATGGGTTAAATAATTGAAATGTTGCTACAAACAGGAGTTTTCACGACATTTGTAACAAACTTTAATTTTCTCTCCCTTACTATTCAACTACAAATTAAGTCCTGCGGGATTGGGAATGATAATTACTTTTTCGCCGTCCCTGTGCATAGGTATTCTCCGATCTAACAAAGTCATTAATTTTGCTTTTAATCACCATTAAATAATTTCGCACCCGACTAATATCAAAAATTAACTGCTCGCCATTTTTAATTGAATTCATAATTTCATCATTAATACAAGTGATAATTCAACGTCGCGCTGTTACAAAATCACCCCACAAATAAAATAAACAATACACGACCATTTATATTTCTTAACAACGAAATCTAGCACACCTTTTTATATTTTCGCTCATCTGTATAGAATATAATTTAAAAAAAACTCACCTCACTTTTCGAGCAGCATCATTGGTTAGCGTTTTACTATCTACACGATATTCGTTACATATGCATGAAATTTCACAAGAATCTGTTCGGTAGTTTCGGACATTATCCTTATCGACACATACGACCGACAGACAGACAGCCGGAAACGGGAGACCTATTTTTTCATCGTCTGACCCTATTACAATACTAATTAGTTCAAACTTTGCGCTTTACGCATGCGCACCATCTTATTTCTGAAGTTTTTGTGGACAACCACCACACACTTGACGCAATCTTTAATTTCTTTCGATGTAGACGCAATATTTTACATTACTTATTCCTAAGCAGGAAGTATACCCATAAAGATTTAATACATCAAAAAAATAGAATTATGTCCTACACCATCAGCCGCCCCTGCTCGAACTAAACTTCCTTAAATACGTTTGAACGTGACTGAATCTCGTTCTTGAGTAGGGACAGCTGTGATTGAGGATGTGTAAATCAAAATGTCAGTCGGACCTGAAGGCGTTTCGTAGTGTGAATCCCTTTTTTGACTATGTCATCCATTTTAGCGGGAAATTTGAATTTGCGCGTATGCGCAGCGGGAAATTTAAATGCTATAAATGTGGTGCCCGATTTCAGTAAGTAAATAAAGACAGTCATGGACTGGAGATATGAATGAAAAAGTCTAGAAAGAAGAAAAGAATGCGAAAATCAATAATAATAAGGCATGAGTGATAAGTATCGATAACATAACAAGGAAATGTCTGAAGGCGAATATAAAACTTGTATTGCATTTAATACACAGTGCACATCACAACTTTCCTTTAATTTTTTGTGGAGAGCTCGTAAAAATGTGACGCTAAGCACGTCTCTTGATATTAGTCTGTAGATAATAGTCTAAAAAAAGCAGAAGATAAAAGTATTTTCACAGTGCACTGCGTAGGTGTTATAACACACATTAAAAGAAACCTAAGATACTTACTTCTGCAATAAACTTGAGTTCTGGCACGCCGTCAAACCGAATTAGTAAATAATAAAACAAAATAGTTAGAAGTGTTAATTGGTGTATTTCGTGAACTTCTATTTCGAATAGTTCCTTTCCAACCTAATTCCGCGGCATCGAAATTCGGAAAGAACGGAACTTAATAAGTGGATCCATCCGAAAGGAGGCTGTCAGCGTACTCGAGTAAAAATTTTATTTGGTGTGAATCAGTCGCAATAAAGGTGTCGTAAAATAGTGACAGTCTTTTCCAGGCGAAAGAAAATTATCGAACGGCGAAATAAAGTCGTAATTACATGATCAGCCTGCTTTATTTCACCATTCGAAGGCATTTCAGACATACGCAGGACACGTCTAGCATTACTACGTGACATTTCCACACGTTTCGTCTTCAGTGAAAAAAGAGCACCTCCCTCAGCTCCGGCGTGTTCTTTCTAGACGTCGGGCGATATCGGGAATATCCCAAATAAATAACAATGTCTTCTCGTTTAGAAATCATTTTTTAGACAGATTAATGGCGGATGCGCCGGGACTAGCGACTGATAAATTTTCATGACACCGGTTTTTACACATTTTCTCATCGTCCGGACTGTATCAATTTAAGTCGCTAAAATTTTATTCGAACAATTAATTATCCACCAGGACTAGAATTGTTACTTCATCGGCAAGCGGTGAACAAAGGCGTACTTGAGTTCTGTAACGAATTTAACTGAAGTCTGTAATTGAACATGAATGCGAAAAAATTTAGACGATATTGTTGTAAGAATATCGTTTTAATTGTTAAATTTCATAAATATAAAATGTAGAATAGATAACATACGAGTTGTAAACAAATAATTAGTACGAAGTTGTCCCAAGGGAGTGAAGTCTACATCGAGTCGTAAATAAGGCATTTCGGTTTGTAAATGTTTCTTCGAATTAAAATGGTGGATGCGCCGGGTTACGCGATTTTATTTCCTTGGTAAATTATGAAATTTTTATGTTGCTGCGGGTAATTTCGCCGTTCTCAGTGGACTCATTAATCAGAGATGAAGGTGCAGAGTTTTAATTAAAGACAGCTTGTGAAAGAATTGTTCGATTTGGAACGGTTCGATTTTTTCTTAATTATGTAATTAAAGGTAATGACATTTTCCGGTTGCGTGAGTAATTGTGTGTATAGCACGAAAGCGACACTATCAGTGCGAGGGGATCTGAATAGACAGAGTTGTTCGTTGATTAGTGAAACGAAAATTCACAAAGTGTAAACGAAAGCATCTTCGAATTGCGCGAATTGTTACTTTTAGCGAGATATGAATTATTGTTTTACAACCTTAGATGCAAATTGCTAAATGCGAGCTCCAATTTATAATCGTAAAGCAGAGCGCATATTTGTGCCTCCTGAATCTAAAGTAGTTTTACGATACGACTGTCAACAATTCAACAAAGTATGCAAAATCTGGCCATAACTCTTTTTCTTTGTTCTAACACGAAAACCAATTTTGACGCGCATTTTTCAAAACTTTGATATATGTCAAACTGGATAGATTCGGAATTTGTAAGCGCGCATTTCAATTCAACGAAAGAGTTGTGTCATCTTGTGGAGAAATTGTTTTAATTGGAATTTTAAGAGTGCAATTACTTCGGTCGGGCATAACTCCAAAAACTATCAAAATGCTATAATTACGGGGGCATTTCACCGAACGCAGTTCGCTTTATGTCTAAGCTATAATTTCACGTGATGAATAGCGCCAAGTGGACTAAATATACCATATCTTTACACCAAATTTTTTACACTAGAATAGATTGAAATTTTATTACAACGCCTCGGTTCCCATAAATTTTATTTTTATTATTTCGGCGAGCCGAAATAATTCCGCGCTACAAGTTTGTTTCAACAACTACCTAAACATTTAATTCTCGCACACCTTTCAGTACGTTGGCAAATTGCTGCAATTTACGGTAATTAATTTACCAATTCGCAGCAATTATTGGTTGGAATTTCTCACTAATTAAGGTTCCTTGATGACGTCTACCCCGAAAGGAAGCTAACCGAACTGATATATTTCTACTACATTCATCGCCCTATTTAACCCAACTTAAACAATAACCCCAATTAAATCACCCCATTTTATTTTTAATCATCACACAGTGGAATACGCTCACTTATCTCCCTCGCTACACAAATAATTAATTACGAGTAAACAACTGTACCCCCTTCCGAACCCCTTTAATGAATTTTCTATAAGAAAACCGACACATATGCAACCACAAATACACCCATAGTTAATCCCGGCGGTGTCATAACTGTCATGACATATCAACTTACGTTACGTTACGTTACGCTATATTACACATTACACGTCATAATTATTCTTTCGCTACTGCAATTTTAATCAAACGATAGTTGTCGGGAACTCTTGTATGCAGTTTCCATGTACGTTGTTAATAGCCAAAGTAAACAAAATACACAACTGTATTACAGTTGCTCAACCCACGTAAAACAAAAGTCACAATAAATAAACGTTAGGTTTAACAAAAAAAGGTTCACATTTACAATATGTTTACAATTCTTATACTAATTGTGTCAGTTATAACGAGATGTCACTATCGCGGACGACGTAAACCACTAGTAGCATAGATGACTTGAAATACACTTACGGACGGAGCTATATTCACCCAAAGTGATAACAATTCACCGAATTTGATAATAATCGCCCCACTGACTACAAAACCACCAGATACATGTATCTCTTCATGAACTGACATTTTCGTAACAATAAACCAGTAAGTGCATTTCGATTGTTTTAAATACTTGTTTGTAATTAGAAATTTTCCCTTTTTCTGCCACACCCGGTATGTTGCAAATCTCCAAATTAGTATTCCCGCTCAATCGATAAACCCTCTCAAGGCTCCACTGCTGTATGCAAGACGCAATTAAACCACTTTAACGAAGCGCTTGCTCCTCTTTATTAATTAAAAATCAACAAAACCAAGTATATACAAATTCTGACCAATGAGAAACACATAGAGTTATCAAAAATGTATTATTACATAAATTTACAGTCTTAATCTTAACGTAACCACTTACACTAAATTGCATCTGTTCTTTGGTGGCACTAAATAAAAGTGAAATTAAAAGTGAAAATACAATGTGTACTCCTATTATTATTACAGATTACTGAAACACAAAATGAGTCTCTTATACGAGTTCATCGATCACGCAAGCTGCACGTTATTGGGACACTGACTAGTTAAATTAGCAAAAGGGAAATCTTCCTCGTCTCCAGTGGATTCTTGACTTGATGGAGGAGTATCCAGTTGTGGTAGACCTAAGTCTAGGTACTCTTCGTTCGCTGTAAATGTGAGAATTCGGTCCAGATCCTCCACAAGCTGGGAGAATATCGGGCGCTCGTTGGGTTGGTAACTCCAACATTCTCTCATGAGAATGTAAATTTCTAGTGAACAACATGGCGGCTTCTCCATGCGGTGGCCATTACGGAGAAGTTGGAAAAGTTTTTCGACACTTGGGACCGACGGGTACGGGGTTCCTATTTTGACATTACTTTAGTTCAAAATTTAACAAACGTGATCAATTACCTCCAAGTGTCATGATTTCCCATAGAAGAATTCCGTACGACCAAACGTCGGATTGGGTAGTATACACCCTATGGAAGAGAGCTTCAGGTGCCATCCATTTCACCGGCAATCTTCCATCTGTAGTTTTCCTGTAGTAATCATTACAGTGTATATCTCTGGCCAAACCAAAATCTGCGATCTTCAAAATATAATCGTCGCTGACTAACACATTTCTTGCGGCCAAATCTCGATGTATACACTACGAAACAAAAAGGTACAACTTATTACAACAAAATTAGTTCCTACCCTTCGTGACGCCAAATATTCCATCCCTCTTGCCACCTGATACGCAAAAGAAACCAAATCTTTTTGGGTCAAAGTTTTTCGTTCTTTCTCTACTATTCCAATCGCTGGTTCGTAACCAGAAGATGGCCTGTGTTGTCTCAAAAAGTCCCTCAGGTTACCATGAGGGGCAAACTCCACCACAACGTATAAGGGACCACCCTGTGTACAACACCCTAACAAATTGATAATATTGATGTGCTTCCCAATCATTTTCATCATCTCCATTTCCGAAACCAGATCCATCATTTCGTTATCAGTATGACCCTCTAGAGTATAAAAGAGTGAAATTTGGACAACAGCGTCTAGATTTTGTTACCTTTTAACATTTTAACAGCCACTATGCTAGTGACTCCAGGTTTCAACAAACCGATAGCTTCAGCTTTAACGACCTTTCCGAAAGCTCCTTCCCCCAAACTTTTACCAAGGGATAACATAGCCCTTGGGATCTCCCAATCCGAGTCCATCGGCAACTCGTACTCGGAAATCATCCCGTCCCCAGAGTTGTTATTTTGGGTCTTTTGTTTTTCGATCTTCACCACAGGCATTAACTACAAAAACCCGACTTAGTGTCTACCTAACGTGAAAATCAACACTCACCAAAGGTTCAGACACATCTTCAGTAGTATTTTGGATTTTCTCGATGATCACTTTCTTAGTCCACTGTGTCACTACCGCAGCTCTTACTGTCTCCAAGGCTAAAATTTTCTTCTGTTTTTCACTAAAATAACACTTTTAGACAAGAAACGAGAATTTGGTTGAAAGGTACATTTTTAGTTTTTTGAAGAAGACCACCACAATCGAACAGACTGCGAGAAGGATCAAGATTATAGCTATAGCTGCATAGGTGATAAAATTGTTTGAATTGAACTTCTGCTCAACGTCAAGCCCTACAAGCCCTGTTTTACGAGAGAGGAAGTAATTGCAGCCACCGAGTACTTACGGTCTACAACCTTCAAATAACCTCTGGAAGCAGTCTGGCCCAAGCTATTGGCAGCAATGCAAGCATACCATCCTTCATCTTGGTACGTTACGTTTTTAACTTCGTAAACTTCAGGATTATCCGTATCACCGCTTTTCTATTAGGAAGAAGATTTTAAAACATGGAACAACAGAGTAGAGTAATAGTTAGAACATGCAGAAATAAGAGTTAGGTCACAATCATTATACCTGCACCACAACCGCATACGTTGCATTGTATTGCCTTGTCCACGAAATGTAAGGATTTAGATGAGAAAGGAAGGTACATGTCAGATTAACATTTGAGCCCACAACCACAGTCATGTTTTCTAATGGATGTGTACAGACAGGCTTGTTGTGATAGCGTTCTAGAATAGAGAATCGAGTCGTAAAAACACGAGAAAAAGAAACAAAGTGAGAGAAAATGTGCACTTGACCATCACCACCCTTCACCGTTCACCTCTCTTTTTAATACCTGTAGAACTGTGTCGTTATTATTAGTTGAATTCTCGTTAAAATCAGATGTGTTGGCTAATTTTATCCACTGTAAGTACGGTTCAAGATCGGCGATCATTTGAGGACATTCAAATTTCACCGAGGTGTTTACCAAAACGGTAAGGTTTTGAGGGTAGCCATCTTTAATATACGGTTTTGATGGGAAGCGCTCTAAATCGGCGTTACTCAAAATCGACGAAAAGGATGAATAAAGAACTTACCAATAACTTCAACGGAGTAGGTGAAGTTGATACAACCCAGTTCGTTGCATACGACGCAAGTGTAATTGCCGGTGTCGTCGGTAACTAAGTCTTCTAAAGCCATTCCCCAGTGTTGATAACGAATTTCGCCAAGCTGCCGTTTTGGAGGTGTTTTGTCGTTTTTCCACCACGTTATATTCGGTGTTGGGAAACCTCCAGCTTTACATTTTAGATTGACCATGTTACCGGCGGGCTTCACCTCTAGTCTTGGCATTTTCTTAGGGTTGACAAAGTAAGGAGCCTTCCGTTCGGTTTCGCGTTTGAAACGAACCCATGTGAAGTCTTCTGGGATGTCATTACTATCGTCATCTGTTCCAGATTGCATTATAAACGAGTCTTGTAATGCTATTGGTGGTACTCACCATCTAACACCGTCAGGTATCTTGCAATTTCTTTGGTGCCAAAATCGGTAACACTAATACAAGAGTACCAACCTTCATCCCACCGTGTCGCATTCTGGATTTGGTACGTACTGCTACTCTCCTAATCACGTCCACATTTAGGAAATATAGAAAAGTTGTAGTGAGTACTTACCTTTACAAAGACACTGCTTCCATTGGAGAGTTTTCGTGACCAGTAAATTCGACTTCCCTTGGGAAAATCACACGTCAAATTTTTGCTATCGCCGGTAAGTAAAGTAATATTGTTGACATAATCGATGATGATCGGCTTCATGGGAAATGATACTGCAACAAACGAAGATAGTGATACGTAATATTTTCATTCATCAATCGTACCAATCACTTTCACTTTGAAAACATGATCGACGCAATCAATTTCATTGCAAACCAGACATTTATAGTTGCCAGAATCCTTCAAAGTCACGTTATTGAGTGGCAAGGTGGAAAAGTGGTACCGCGATTCCAAAAGTTCATCATTTTTGTACCACGTAGTATTAGGAGGTGGAGTTCCTTTTGACTCGCACTCTAGAAGGATCGAATCACCATCCAATACACTTATTGCTTCTGATTTTTCTTTAACATTGATAAAAAATGGCGGCACTTGTTCGATAGATCGTTTGGTACGACGATTGTGATTTAGATCTTCCTCCACCAGTTTACTTAAATCTAAAAATAATGTCAACTCGCAGTTATCTTCATGTAAAATGGACTTACAAGAAAGTGTATTTAATATGTATTTTTTAGATGACTCAGGAATCTTCGTTTCTACAATCTCTACAACTAGAAGTTAAAAAAAAAACAAGCACAAAACTAGTACTCACTCTCTATCACTTTTAAGTAACCTTTAGAAGCAGTCTGACCTAAACTATTGGTAGCAATGCAAACGTACCATCCCTCGTCTTGCAAAGTTACGTTTTTAACTTCGTGAACTTCTGGATTGTCGGTATCACCAGATTTCTAACGAAAATAAACTTTGTTAAATACAAATAATAATCATTTACATGCAAAAGTATGATGACAAACATTGTACCTGCACCACAGCAAATGATGTATTCTCGTATGTGCCTCCCCCCAGAGTCAATGAATTCTCGTCAAAATCAGCTCTGTTTTCCATTTTAATCCACTCTATATACGGTTCAATATCGGGGATCGTTTGAGGACATTCAAATTTCACCGACGTGTTTACCAAAACGGTAAAGTTTTGAGGGTAGCCATTTTTAATATGCGGTTTTGATGGGAAGCGCTCTAAATTGGCGTTACTCAAAATCGGCGAAAAGGATGAATAAAGAACTTACCAATAACTTCAACGGAATAGGTGAAGTTGATACAACCCAGTTCGTTGCATACGACGCAAGTGTAATTGCCGGTGTCGTCGGTAACTAAGTCTTCTAAGGCCATTCCCCAGTGTTGATAACGAATTTCGCCAAGCTGCCGTTTTGGAGGTGTTTTGTCGTTTTTCCACCACGTTATATTCGGTGTTGGGAAACCTCCAGCTTTACATTTTAGATTGACCATGTTACCGGCGTGCTTCACCTCTAGTCTCGGCATTTTCTTAGGGTTGACAAAGTAAGGAGCCTTCCGTTCGGTTTCGCGTTTGGAACGATCCCATATAAAGTCTTCTAAAAGAGTTGTGTAATGTGTAATATTGGTGGAAAGCGGTCTAAATCACCACAAAAAAAAACATAAGACACTTACTGGTTACTTCAAGAAAATACGTATGTTGTATGCATCCTAGTTCGTTACACACTATGCAAGTATAGTTGCCTGTATCCTCCACGGTTAAATCCTCCATGGTTATTGATCCATGATCACGAATTTCGCCTAATTTTCGTTGCGGAGTTTTATTATTTTTGTACCATGTTACGTTTGGAGCTGGACTGCCGCTAGATGTACACTTTAGAGACAACATATTACCAGCTGGTTTTACCACAACTGAGGACATTTTTCCAGGATATACAAAAACAGGGGGCGTTTTTTGACTATCGTTTGTCGAACGTTTCGTACGACTATAAGTTTCGTAGATATCTTCATCCTCTGAAAATATTTTTTAAAGACATGGTATTTGCTATCTTTTGCTAACTTACTATCGAAATTATCGTCGCTCAAAAAATTTGTCAATACCTCGCTGTTATCCGAGGTTCTGTCTAAATCATCTACAATGTCAAAATTGATACATTTGTAGCAAAATCTTGTTACTACTTACCAACGACTTGAAGGCTGTACGTACGATTGATGCAACTATAGACATTGCAACTTAAGCAGGTGTAGTTACCTGCATCTTCAAAACTTAGATTATCAATCACAAGCGTTTTACGTAAATGTATTCTATCACTTTTAAGAAGAATTCTGTGATTTTTGTACCATAATGTGTGTGTTTGTGGTGAACCGGCTACACTACAACTCAGTTCTGTTCTTTCCCCTTTGCCTCTCACAACGTGTATTGGTAAATTTCCTTATCAAAAAATTTTCTCATGGAAAAAGTCTAAATCAAACTGGAGTACTTACCTTTTGCCGTATATGGAAGCAGTGCAGAACTATACGTCGCCAAAGCGAAGAACAACCACACCGTTCGTATCATGGTGACGGATCCTCACAGCGAGTTCTCTGAAAGTAGAAGTCTTTAAGCACTTTCCAAATTTATGGTAGAGCCTTGCTTTTTATTTCCTCGAAAAGCTTTTGAAACGGAAAGGTCTTTTCACGTTTCAGCTCGATCCTAATAAATCTCTATTAACGTCATTAAGCTTTCACTAAATAGGTTTATGAAAAAAAATCAGGATGTCACTACTCCGCAATACATATAATAATTTAAAAGATTAATTTTAACCGCGGCCAAACTTCTGCCAAGTGGATATTTTTTAAATAGATGGAATTCGACGTGAAGTAAATGTGGCTTGAATTAACGTAATTGAATTAGACTGAAGACGAGAGAGAAACGGAAGGTATGACTTACACGTATTTGGGTATGAACAATATTTCACCCCTTCTGGGTCTTCCAAATATTTACTCTACTTGTATATAATAACAGTTGTCCAATTATTTAGTGTGGATTTCTATATACGAACCACTGTTTGAACGTACAAGGTGGTATTGATGTCACGTGTGATCGAGCCGAGCATAATCTGCTCATTTTGCGAATTTTTCGTGCAAAATGGTGTTTTCGCGGTACGATGAAGGTTAGTCGCGAGTCTGGTGGAATGTAGCAGCATCTGTGTAAATATTGTTTGGGTTGAAGTTTGAGCAAAAGTGTGCGAAGACCTGGAGTGCAGGTAGTGGTGGTAGGGTCTAGGATGATTGGTGACTAAAAACAGGCACACGTGTTTACCACATGTGCAGAACAGTAGACGGAACGGGCTAGCAGCGTATTTCCGTTACCAAGTCTAGCAACTTCTTCACCTCGGAGTCGAGCTTCAGGTTCGATATTTATACGTGAGTATTTTAATATTTACAGCGACAGAGTGGGTCGATCAGGTTTATGAGGGATTATTAATAAGATTATTGCTTCAAAGTCAGATCTTGACCCAAGATCAAAGCTCAAAGTTGAGAGAAACCCCCCGAGTATTATTAGTTTATTCGAATCAAGTCGGATTACACATAAGTGTCTTTGTTGGCAGTTATTCCTTAAATTATTCAATCTAATCTAAAAAGGGACAATCGGAATTGCGTCACGTATGCAGCAAAGGTCGCGTCAAACAATAAAAGGAGACTTTGTTGATGAATTTTAAAAGAGACGGTTTGAACATTGCACAGGGATTTAATCACTCAACTGACCCAAATACATGGTGAAATAAACAGTTGGGTGCGTGGAGACGCCTTGGTCAACTCAAAGACTTCTTTGTGTTGGCTTAAATTGAAGAAAAAGTCGGGACTTCGACCTGCTACGACACCGTCATAAACCCACTTGCTCCAACTCAATAGTACACAAGTTACGAAGTCTTCGGATGACCGGAAACAAGGGATGGTGCCAAATTCTCTCGGACCACAAAAGCCCGCCGAAATTGGACTTGTGGGAAAATATGACCGACCTAGAATTTTTATACCAGAGTTTCTTGACTTCATTGTTATTGTTAAGAAATTTAAATAATTTCCGATCCAAATAAAATTACAGTTAAATATGTTAAGTTTGGATGAATTACAGGATATCCGTGTCTAATTTATTTCTATTTTAGTACGCTTGCAGTGATTTCTGGTAATTTTCAACCTTGGAAATCAATCATAAACCAGCCGTCTAATAATTCATATTTTAAAATGGGAGCTACAACGCACTTTCTTAGAAGTCGTAAGTGCCAACGTTAAAAAATCTAAACCACCAAGCCCACGGCTTTCAAAGACACCAAACGCCCGATTCCGTCATCGTTGTTACACGTTTATTACTAAATAACAAAGAACACTCAATATACATATTTATGTATATATTGACGTCGGTTTGTTAAACTGTAATTAATTGTGGTGACACTATATAGCTGAACGAACCAGAACTTAAATAATAACCAAGATAAATCTATTTTCTATTACAGAGTAGTGTTACTAATTAATTGGATCTTATATAATTGATGTTGACTTCTCTTCCACTTCAAGGATAATTCTGGTTTTATTGATTACGTATCAGTTAACTCCTGTATTTTCCTGGTTTAAAATCTAAAGGGTAAACATGTTGACAAAATGTTATTATTCAATCCTAGTGCGCAAAATAAAATCGCAATTATCCATATACCTATTCTTAGATAAAAACAAGGATAGCTACATAGGAATCAAAACATGTTAGAAAGAAATGAAACATAGATGCGTGCGCATACAAAAGTCAATTGCAAACCAAAGTTTTCATGTAAATTGCAACAAACTACGAAATATGATGATGGAAATCCAAAAGCAAACACTCATCCAAATCTCAGTGACGTCACAAGCAGACGCGTGCGTTCACAAAAAATTATACAGAAAATAGAAATTTCAAAGATTTTCAGCTAATAGGGAAGTAGTATCTTTAGTTTACATCTGAAAACATTATAACATTTTGTATAATCCTTCTAATAAAACGGTGCAACGTGACGTTTACATCAACACGAGAAGTATGATTCTAAAATATTTCTACATTTTACAATGTTTTGTGTTGCTTCAATGGAAAGTACGAAAACTTGGCAAGGTAGTGTAAATGAAGCGTGCTTGTGTGGAGTTTTTGAAACTATATAAGTAGGAAGTGAATTTTTTCCGTAACTATAATAATAAATGTCAGAACAAAAAAAATGGGGGTTATGTTAAATCCAAGACTTAATGACCACGAAGAAGCGATTTTTACGTTTCTGGCTTTTTTACAGCGATTGACAGAGAGAGTCAATTGCGGCAAATTACCAGAAAGGATGTCAATGATAGTTAATTGGGGCGGAAATATGTCGATTATGGTTAATTGAGGGAATATTGACTGTAACGTGTGCCTATTATTTACTCTCTTGTCAAGTTCTTATCGACGTGTTTTCATCGTAAGGTACATGAAACTATAGTTAATGAATTCATCTTTGCCTGGGATATCTAATAATATACTGCGGTTACAAGCTTGGGCCGACAGAAGTAATAAAGGGCGAAATAATTCAGTTGTGTAAACAAGCCTTTATGTTGTATTCTCGGATGTCGATGGACCCATTTAGCAGGTTAAGTTTAAAGAGTCGAATAAACCAATCGAGTCGTGTGATTTTTAATAAACGCGTAAAAATATGAAAAATTTTCCACGAATTTGGGCTGGCGTATTGCCAGGGGGCTCCTTAAAATGTGTCTGAGATACATTTGTCAGAATAAATCACTATTAGAGCGTGGAATTTTAATAATTAGGTTATTGTTAAGTTGGTAATAATTCATTATGGTAAAAAACCCCAACCATATGGCCCTTTATCATCTCGGCTAAGACGTGTTCCTGTGCGGGCCCAGTCGTAAATTAATAGAGCCCCTTATTATATGAGATGTTATCTCGCTCCTGTAGAAAGCAGAGACACGGGCCCTACACGAGTATATTTATTCTCGTCTTCCTACCATGCAGTGTCATCCCATTTGAATAAATCCCACGCAATTCTGATTCGACTTACCCACGGCCCAGACCACACACTTTTCCACCGGACTGTAACTAAATATGCCAATAAAGCACTGTAATTCCGCCCTTGCGGCGCACTCTGGCTAAAACCGGCCCTGCAATCTTCCTGTATCGCCTTATTCTACCGAGGCGTCATTTTTCACCGCCTAGACGAATTCGAATAACTGTGATAGCAATCGGTTGTTGTTGCGCTTAAAGAACAATGTTATTGTGCCATATTCGGGCCGCTGTGACGTATGTCGACATGCCTCATCCGCTGTCAAAATTTTTCGAATAATATATAGCCTGACAGCCGGCTGAAAGCTGGAAGCTGAAAGCTGAAGGGAAGCTATAGTTCATCACCGCTTCTGCCGAACTCGCCCGTCACAACGCTATAAATAGAGCGAAATCCATAAAAATTTTAATGCCATTTTGTTATGTTATGCGCTATTTTTAAATTTTCGCTCGATTTTAACAATTATTTTCAACGACTACCTGTATTATTACAAAACGATTACTCTTCACTGCTCGACGAGCATACAAATCGCCCCCTTACCTCTTCCGAGAAGAGGAATTACAATCACATATAAAACTTTTTCATGAATTTTCATACCGTGTTCGCCAACTGACGCTGAATATTAAAAAATACCCAAATATCTTCACAAAAAATTCCACTACGAAACATAGAACGAAACAGTTCGTGTAATTGCAGTTTACTCATGTGCTAAAAATATATAATAACAACTCAATTAATCTCTACGGCGCCACCCCAATAGCAAGTCATCGTAAAAATGTGCAAATTCAAAGAATGAAAATAAAGTCGACATATACTGGTTGAAAAAAAGCAAGAACATTGTGGGCTGATCAAGACGACCTTGACTTCTTCATTGTATTCTGTTGCAATAAGAAATTTGAAAACAATCAACAAGGGTTCTGGCAGCTCGACGAACGCGCACACACCCACACACAGAGAGATCTTTGTAATTCAACTTTTACATCTCGTCGGGATAATTTCTCACTAATTAAATTTGGAGCACTTAAAAATGACACTCGTGATGATAAACAGTGCGTCAAAAGAATGGAACCAAGCTAAAAAAAAATGCATTTATTTACTTATCAACGATAAATAAAACTCCTTTATGTAGTAGTCGTGCGTTAATGGTTTCGTACTTAACCTCAACAACACACGTAGCAACGATAAAACCATCTATAGTGAATGTATGTGAAAGTTAAGAAGGCTCCAATATAATCTAATTCATTAATTACTAGATACAGGTATACCGTATATAGACACCGAAACACATTCCTTACTTACAAATAACCCAAAAAGTCGCTATAAAAGATGAGTAGATGCCCTAACACCATACCTATCTAGGTATAGTCGAAATTTTCAGTGGACGCTTTGTATGAACTATTGTGACTAAAAAAAAAGTAAAATATGACAAATAACCGCATATCGTGTGCTATATTTAAACAAATAATGCTTTAATGACGTTTTACAAGTGCCAAGAACGGATTCAAATTCATAACGTGACAATCCCAACAAAATGGCGAAGCTGATGAATAAAACATTCAGACTGCTTAAACAGTATTCGTAGCGAATTTTCTTAAACATGACGTCTATTGGAAATTATATTAACCGAAAAATTGACAATCTTCGTTGACTATGAACGTGTAATTCACATTCAGGTCAGTAGTAATTACAATAGAAACTTTTAATTTTTGTAAAATTCTGGACTATCCATGCAAAATTTCAGACGATTACGATAAACAGTCCCAGGTGTTTAACCGATACCACGTTTGTGCCCCACTCATGACCTGATTTGGTTAAATACAAATCCATAATTAAAAGCCTGCTTATAACTCTTATCTTAATCGAATAAAGCATTCATAAATGATCGTAGATAAACCAGATATACCGTTAATCAAATAGTGAAATGATAATTTTGACAGTTGATTATTTTGACATCGGAATTCCTTTCGATCGGTTAGAACATTTATATGCCATATGATATGTATCATATAAGTAGAACATGACAGATATAGATTTAGTGTGTGTTGGAAAGAAATAGGACACGTGTATCAGTCACAACCTAAAATTTTTTTGCCTCATATTCGCAGAAATTTTGATACACATTTTACGCCGAAAGTGTAACATGTTACTGTTGTAGTCACCGAATGGATGAAACGACAAATTCCAGAACCATCACGAAGCAGGTTCTGGGGCACTGGCTACCTTTTCGTGGAACATCTGCTTTAAATTATGAATAGATAACTTTGATTACTGCGCGCCAGATGGTACTGATGCACCTTTTCCCTCCCCCTCTTATGAACTTCATCTCGTGTTAACAAAACCGATCTAAATCTAGAATTCAAAAAAAGGAGTTCTCGTTTGCCACAAAGTAGTGACGGCTGTCATAAATACAAACAAGTAGATGAATGTGTGCAAAATCTGCTTAAACCAGTTTTTAACGCATGTTCCTTTGCACCTTTACACAAATGTAGATTCGAGCCAAGTAAATCAAAAGCAAAAAGTAATCACTAACACAAATATACATCGACGTTGAAAGAAGCGAGTTAAACATCCTACGAATCCTAGGAGAGGTACGTTTTGTTTAGATTTGCAAATAGGGGTTATTTTAGATCAAAGTGTTGATAAAGCTTGCACTTGTAACCTGTAGCTTTCCGATTTTGAAAGTTAAACTAATATTTTCGGGCGAATTTAAACATGGCAAGGACAGACGCTTTTCAAATTCCGCAGATACAAACATGTCAAAAGCTAAAATATGTTATTGCGATAAATGTTTCAAGATTTTCTTTCGTTTCGAAAATTTCGTAGTTTGAAAAATCGGGATTTTCAAAACAGACACGATTAAAAATTCCGGGTGATTGACTCCACGTTTATTTTAGTAAACGAATTCCGCATATGAAACACGGAAAAATTATTCACATTAACAGCCGGAAGTTTCTAAAGAGTTGGAATTTTTCGAGCACATTTTTTCATTTTAGTCTAATTAATATTACTAGTCACGACATTTCTTAAGGAAAAAGGAAATCACCATTTAACAAACAATTTAACTTTATGTTTCAATTTTTCTCTTTAATAACGGAAACAATATCCTCTTTCTAAAATTAAAGTATCCTAAGTATTTGTCACGTGTGTGGAAACCATTAGTCTAGGATCAGAAGTGGGATAGGAGTCATAAAACTAACGCCGCTTTCAATTTACTACCCATTATTTAGTGAACAAAACAGCCAAACAAAAAGTGTTGAAATTTGATACAAACTGGCTGTTTAGAAGTTAAGAGCTTGTGATGGATGATAAACATCGCCGATCGGTAGATAAAATCAACAGAAAAAAAATTTATGACATCAGATATACAGCCAAGCTCCAGCGCTGTATGTAATTATCCTGTGCCATAAATCCTACACCTAAAGGTAGGGTAGTGGCTTTTTAATGCTCTGTGGATCCCGCAAGAAAAAGACCATCGATTTCGCGACACTGCGCTATACAATTATAACCAGAAACATTTCTATACATTAAATCATTCCTAATTTATTCAATGGGTTCGTCGTATCATAACGTACACAAATGCACTTACGACAAATTCTGACATTAACCAGATTTCTTCCATCTTTCTCCATCACACACTCGACGCGTATTAATAAAATAAATTATACATTTTTTATTCCAAAAGTTAGTCACGAGTTACACGCAGATGGTGAAAATTAATTAAACAGGAAATACTACGAAGACGTCTACAACTAAAAAATTCCTGAAGGGATTATCACTCTTAACATCAGAGATAAACATTTATAACTTTATACCTTTAATTTATTTATCTGTTTGACAGGTATTTATGTTCAACCTCACTTCTGACTGTTTAAAAAATTAACCTCATCAAAAAATAAAACGATTTTTATGTTAATTAACATATTGTAATCAGTTGTTTAATCTCACGCATGAAACTGTATGGTTAGTAGTTTTTCGGTGGACAAATAATTAGCTTCACAGCCTGAAAATATGCTGACAGCTTAAATTAACATTCACCGGACAGAATTAGTTACAATCATGGCTTACTCTAATTCCGTCTTTTCTTGGTATAACTATAACACAATAAATTGGTATCCGGTAATAAAACTAACAAGATACCAACTCTTAGAAAAACAATTGTCAGTGCGGGAATTACGTTGTGTTCAAACCTCAGCCAACTTGATATATAAAGTTTACATATCTGTCAATACACAAAGTGATAGTCATCACATCTGCTCTTAATTAAAGTGATTTTCCGCCAACATTAATAAATAATTTACTTCACTGCTTACTTAATTAAAAAAAAATCAGACAGTTAGAGCAGCCCATGAAACCAGTTTTTGGATTGAAATTGCTAAGTAAGAACATTTTGTACCACGCGATCTAAAATTAAGCACAAAAAAGCTAAATTAGCTACAAGTTTGAATTATGGAAGACCTTGTTTGATTTATGAGTGTTTAAAAGCAAAATATACTCACGCGTTAGATGATATCTGCGGGTGCCATTTCGACAGAAATATAATCCGATACTGTCGTAACTTAAAGACCAAATGGTCAAAACTACCAATAAAATGAAGGGAATGTGAGTTTTAAGATTCACTTTGACGTACCAAAACTTAATTGCCTGTACGTAGAAATGCATTTTTGATATTTTTGGGACACGTTTGTTCATTCTCTTGTGAAAAATTTCGCCCGTTATTTAAAAATATGTTCTAAATATTTATAAATTGACGTATAACGAACTGAAACACGAAAATTCCCTGAACATCAGCTACTATTAAAAACACAGTTATAACGTACAAGGATTTAAATGATGGTTGTTGTAGCTGTGTTCAAACATCGTGTTGATCAAGTAGTCTGTAACGAAAACACAATAACATAACCTCCGTTTGTTTTGAACGTCAAACACTGGTACAATCGGGGTAAAAACAAATATTCGGAGTCAAAACTGTGAATTTGGTCGCTTGATTTGAATTAACTCATATATAGAAGAACTGTTTAGGGTACTATATATGGAAAAACTTACAAAAGTGGAGTCTTCTTTGCGCAGCTTGCACTTGTTTTAAGTTGACTAAACTGTTAGTGGTGCTTGCAGTGTCGATAATTAAAGGTATCTTTTCTTAATAGGAAAATACCTTACTGGTGAGTCTCGTCGAAACGTAATGAGTCAGAAAAAATCAAACTGTATCGGCACCAGATTTAATAAAAAACTATCTTTACATTTCCCCATCTGTCCACTCAGAAAAGAGATAATGAAGAATGCGGGAGCCCAATTAATGAATGGAAGTTAGTTTAATAGAAACGAGTAAAGAATAGCCGGGACATGCAACCGTAATTGCCCGTTCGATTTTATCAAATCATTAGTTCCCACGCAAGATTCGATTTTGAGATAAATTTAAATCCCCCTACAAAAAACATGCGTTCATTTCGATTTCAACAGTCCAGGTGTTCTTCGTAATTAACATTAAACAATTTATGCGAAAATAGGCAGTCGTGTGGAGGTCAGAGTTTGACTTTGTAGTTTTTTGGCGTAACGACGGGGTGAAGTTGTGCGTAGTAAAGTGTTTATTGTGTTGACACAGCTGCTGGGAGTAATGGCTATTTAAATGTCTGGGCAATTTGTAGTGGAATGAAGTGATTTAGTGGAAACTAAACGAGTTGTGCGTAATCGGACACCGCAACTTTTGGCCTGGACCAGCAAAGCACCGGATATAATTTAACAAGCAATTCAAACCTCAACTTATTAAGATGCAGTGCGACGCAGCTCGCATCGTCGCTAGTTAGTATTCTAGTGGTATACAGTGTGTACCTTGCGAATGATTATGACGAGAACAATAGCCTTAAATAAAAATAATGCATTAACATTCTTATTTGGTACTTCTACGCTTTTGCCGGGGCTATACCGTGTCCGGTGACGACTGATCCACGGTCCACCTGCATCTATTCCGTGTATCTGTATCTGGATCTGTACCTGCGTATCTGTATGGTTGTGTGAAAATAACTCGATTCATTTTTCCAAAGTAAACGAACGATTTTTAGTATGTTATGGTCGAACGGGCCGGTGATGGAAGAGGAGCAGGGATGCTCTTAATTGCGGTCTTCGATAAGATTAGTGCAGTCGATCGGTGACCAAACATGAGTCCAGAATGAATGATTCATGTGGAAGAATTTGAATAAATTACGGCGTCTTAGCTTTGACCACACGAGTGGCATTTGTAAACCGCAACGTAACAATTATGCAATTGTCTGTTGTATGATAATGTGCGGAAGCACATGGCCCTAGTTCTCAAGTGGTTCTAAGTTGGCTAAGTTCTAGGTGTATCTGGAGCGAGTCGATTAAGTCCGTTAAGGATGCGCGTTGTTTTGATTAGACCTGTTAGTAAAATAATCATGCAGAATCCAAAAATACCCGGTATTGAGACGAAGCAGCGTTTGCATGGCGTCTCCATCCTCCAATTACCAATAACTCGCCTTAATTAGAGCAATTGAAGCGCAAACATCACTTACCCATCAGAATCGGCCGCAAATCGTTCGTATTTAGCCCAAGACTGCACAAAATCACTTCTATTTCAGTCGCAGTTCGCACTCCGCACTCCGCTCTCTTATTTAGCGTCGTCTAAAGCTGACCGGGCTTAATTCCTCCGAAGGAGCGCATTTTCAAAAGATGCGGGTTTATGAATGAAAATAAAGGTCCGATAGTTGACACGCGCGGACAATGGGCTGCGATTTACTCCGGCTTGACTATCGCACACACTGAGGACCACTACGGACGCAGACGTCTGGCGTGGGCGAGATGCGACTTCTGTTCTGTTCTTAACTTACAAGTCTATTTCTATATACCACTACTGTATGGCACGATCGCGCGTATAAACAAACCGTACCTCCCCTCGGACCTCTTTGCGAACGCGAAAACAACACCAGAATTACAACAATTATACAAACAACGGCGAACACTCACTTGCGTCAACAAACATGCCAAAAACGGACATTCTGCAGCCGTACATTAATTATTTATCGGACGGCTAACGGACTCCGCAAACGGCACGGCTAGGGGCCGGACCCAAAAACGATACTTCCCAAAACTATTAACCTCCGACAAATAAACTTTGCCAAATTTGGAAAACCAATGCTATCGCCACAAAACGCTTGTTAGTACCATTATTATCGTATTTGTGTTCTCATAAAACCGTGCCATGTGCTAAAATCTTAAGCGAAATTGGCAGCGGAGGGCGATCTAATTTGTTCCCATAACCCAAATTGTCAAATACGGTATCTAAATTTCGAAAAACAACTACTTAGCAGAAAACAAATAAATTTACAAAGCTACTATTTTTGTTGCAAAACAGTTTGGTACCACCGCTAAATCAAATACTCATTTCACCAAAATGTCACCAAAATTAACAGAACTTTTTATTCTGAAAAATAAAAAGACAAACATTCTTTCAGATTTTATTTATGTCGTCACTTTCGAGATTGGGTATGGATTACTAGCACGCCAAATTAATGTGACAGCTACAGTCAACTGTCAACCCTATACATGAAATTAATTGAGCACCCATTAATTCCAGCCATTTTGAGCCCAACAAATAACTAAATTTATATTATTCTGCTACTATCATGGTGACAGTATCCCACAGTCATATACTTTTGTTTATCTGACGTCATTCCAAGTTTAATGACTTCCAGGGAAAATAAGTTACAATAAACCAAAATTTGACCGTGTGATACTCCTTTGAGGATATAAATAATTAGCACTCATTAAATAATAATTAGTGTAAAACTACAAATCTTGAAAACTGTGGTAAAATTTAAAGGGAAATTTAACTTGTCAGGCGTTAAATTACAAATACAGATAATATTACATAACACGATATTATTTACAACAATATTAAATCTAATACCTCGTGTGGTTTAGTGTTATTTTGTAATAATTTGTAAACAACCCCACCACTCTAACTGGTGTGTACTCTGTTCACTAATGATTAGGTACACTATTTTGACCAAAAAAGTTAAAAAAAACTTATTTTCGTGTTGAATAAAGGTTGTTTAATCAATTAGAGTGACCACAACTCCATGAACAAAAAAGTTAACCTAACCTAACCTTCATTCAGCGTCTCGCTCTTTTCTCCCCACATACTGAAATTTTAGAAGCACGGGATTCTACCTGCTACTGATACAGTCATTTCGGCTTTGTTTACACAACTATTACATTCTTTAACGTCACAGAGGACAATAAAATTTTACGGAATACAGAAAAAATCGTTCTGAGTGTACTAAAATATTGTGTCACATTCCCTCGGTACCAAATTTGAGATTTTTGGTTTTACTTTGGTAAGGGTGCAATATTTTCCCCTGCACTGGACATGTATACATATTTAAAATATATGGTAAAAACACTAATGTAGGTAACGCAGCATAAAATAATAAGTGACATTTAAAATCAATAAAATTTGAGTTCACAGCGGGCCACGGAAAGCGTAAGTTGTATCGTGAATCAATTCACACAAGGGGGTGAAAAATAAATGTCACATTTAGTATAATACATGGAGGTAGTAACCGTATGGTAAATATTACCTGTTGTTTTATGAGAAAAAATATGTCAAATGTCAGCCGTATTATATTCTTTTCCATTACGTGGTTTATCCGGGACGAACATGTCACTATTTGGTAACATCACATTTTCTAAATTTAAATAAATAGTTTTTTTAGAAATAAAGTGTTTTCAGCACCACGTGGTAATGACATTTCCATAATTAATAACACGAGTAAAATAGTATTGAAGCCAAGCCAAGTTTACCCACAAAATTCAATTTTTAATAGCTGCTTCGTATTATTTATCAAATAAGTGAAGTATTTAAGCACGTATTATAATACCTACCAATTAACTAAATTAATAAATTTCTTTGTAACCGGTTTGATTTTATTTACGGCCGAATGAGCAATATTTATGAAGAAGTATTTTGTTGTAACTAATTAGTTTTGGAAAATTAGAAACTTATTAATTCCAACATGCTTTAGCGGACGTTGAGTACATTACGCAATTAATTAATGTGTTTTCAATCTTTAGTAAATCTGTCATCTTGCTTGTAATAGGAATGCTTGAAATTTCAACACTTTTCTCTAAAATTCCAGCAATGTGAAGAACTAGATCCCACACCAAAACAAACGTAATAAAAATGATTTAGTTTGTACTGGTGTGTGGCATTTATCACCGAGTAAAGATTTTTCACTAATTACTTTCATAATAATAGCCCATCCATCCGGTCGACTGAGTAAATCTACGCGCCTATATTGCTCTTTATTTATCGTCAACACGCCAAGCTGTTCATGATAAAGCCTAATTATGTTAAGGCACATTTGCAGTTTGTAAGAGATCATATGTCTGCCAATTGTTAACAAAATCAAATTTCAGTTTGTTATTGTTGAATATGATAGCTGATTGATCCTGAAACATGCTTTACAATTTTGACAGCTGTGATTGATTTAAAGCCAAAAATTCAAGATGGCGATGGCGGATATTTTTTTAATTCTTAGATGAGATATACGTAAACAGATGATGCTCGTTGAAACAATGTAACCTCAATAACGGTTCTTTCGTTGAATCATTTATTCTTATTCTGAAGTTGAAGTGTTTCGTTTTGTCAAATTATTTACACCTACAATCATAACAGTCGACCACGCACTGGCGATTTCTCTAAATAATACCTCCTTCGCATATGTTCAACACTTAAGTCGCTTTAACTTAAGAAAATTATTGCGTAAGCCAGCAGCAAAGTAATGTTATACTCGAAATTTCGCTCACTTGTTTTCCAATTTACAAATTCGACACAACGTTGTAATTTTAGTCTATAGTTAGCGGAATAAAGGCTACAATAAAAATATTATTGAGCTGTAATAACTGGGGATATCCGATGTGGATGTTTTAGGCAAACATAATTTGGCAGCGTTAACGTAAAGTCTGGTGATTGAAATAATTCGTGGAAAACTGTTAGTTACAAAGTTTATTTTTTTACAACTGCGGTTACCGGAAAATTTAAGATGCGCACTAGCCGGATGTATACCATTATCACACGATTTATTTTTCAAAGTGCAAATTGATATGAGAAACGCAGCGGAGAAATTGATTATTCATACAGGTAGGATTGCAAACGGACGTTGAGGAACTTACTTATCGTCACACGAAACGATATACTCAATTCAAAGAACAATATCGACGTCCGCCGTATTAGCATTCAGCGATCGAGAACGGCATAATCATAAAAACGCCTCAAACGATTGAAAAAAATTACTACTGACAGATGTATGTTAAAAAAGTACGTATTAACATTCGACGATTGTGTCGAGTATAATCATAAAAACGCGACAAAGACTATTTTTAAAACAAAATTTAACGAGCTCTCTCTTAGAATAAAAGACAGGTAAAAAAAGGTAAGAGTATACCGAAAATAACAGAAACCGGAAACGGGAAACACCGCACGCGCCTTTCATATCTCGATGCTGTATGTTCCACGATGTCACAGTATATACGATGTGTCTAATGCTAGCAGTCTACAAGCACAGGTGCATCCCGTGTTTTAAAGGCAGCCGCCGGAATTGCTTTCAGCGCAGTATATTATATGCCTTCGGCTGTTTTTCCAGGGTTGATCCTTAATTAACCTCAACCTTGTATTCAGACAAAAACAGAAACAAGGGTAGCTGGACCCCTTTGCTATTCTTTTACTTTTTTCCCCGACGTATTGTTTCATTAACTCCGCTTCTAACAATAGATACTTATTTATATACTCTACAGTTTAGTTTTCGAACGCAAATTTCCACAAAAACGTCTATTTCAAATTTATATAAGTGGCCATCAGGGAAAGATGTGATTCTCCCTTTACCGGATACGTGACTACATTTGTACTAAGCAAATTTTCCACAGCTGTGGCCGCATCACAAATCGGATAATTCTACCCAGAAGCCCCACTTTTTGCAGCGCGAATTAAAATCGCTCTGCTTTTCCGACGTTCCGGAAGTTTGATGGATACTAGGAAAATCGCTACGTCGCAAATATAGCTCAATCTCCTAAATTCCGTTATATTCGCTTTTAGTTATACTCACTCGTCACTTTTTCATTCGCTGGCTTCACATATACGTAAAAGACTGAACTCTTTCAATGGTTTACATAAAGGTCCTTTAGTTAATCGACTAATTTAGCAAATTCAAATTTTCACATATATTGTTCCATCGAATGTGTCAACACATCAACCGGTGGCCAGAAACGTAAAGTTTGTGTACAATTAATTGACCATGCTTTGACGGGACCACGCAATAAATTTGCGTATTTTCCCCTGTATTAACGGCGAATGCAATCAACCAAAAGAAAACACGCTTTATTCGGAGTTCTACTTAATTTTTTTTCTACGACGAATTTTAAGCGTGGGAGTGGAGTTTCGCCTACTTCCAAAATGTCAATTGAATTAAAGAGAGTAAATAAAATTTATTTTTTGTGAGATGTCAACATTTTCCAGAAAATCGGTTAATTTTAAAATTCATAATATAACATAAATTTTTGAGACATCTTACAACTTACAACAAATTTGTTCATGCAGAAACGTATAGAAATCCAGTCACTTAATTCACTATTAATTCCAGGTTTATAAAAAAATATATATTTTACTTCATTCGATGGTCATTTTAAAATGTACGAGTTAATTTAGCATCACTATTTAAACATGTGGTCATTACCGCACTGCTGGGTGAATAAATGATTACCTGCCGCAGTAATGTTGCAGTAGCGTACACATAACCCCAAGGAAAGAGATTATGAACGGACATAATAATTAGGTTAATTATATAATTAATTAATTTAATAAAAGTATACTCACAGGGATAATATTATCATTCCTAGTGAAGGGGACATGAAAACGTACAATAATTCTGTTACCTAATTAAATAATTAATTAATTAAAACTTATATTCTACCTAAAACATTGAAAATACCAGATCTTTTCGTTGAAGCTGAGTCATACAAGAAACTGTTGATACTGTCTAACCTAACTACAACATCTATAATCGGTTCACTCTTTGGATTTTTCTCGAGTCAAAATGTCATCAAAGTTTTGACACTTACAAAATATGTCACCCTCTGTCAAGTCACACATTGTGATAACAATGAATAAAATTCAGTGTTTAAAATCTGATAGATATAAATTTTGATACATATTTTAAAAATAGTTTCACAGTATTCGCAAGCACCTAAATTTAGAATGCAGTCGAGTGGTACTAGGGTATTTCATTAAAACAATAAATTAACGCTGTCAGTTGATCACCCATTCATAACTTATTTAGAGCTGCTTAAATAAAACGTATGTTAAAATTAAAATTCAACCGAAATATATAAATTCTGAGAAGAACTTTTATTAAATAAGTTAAATATTCACGAAAATTTAGCAGCTTTATTTAGATTATTTACATATTACAAAGTTCTTAATTAATTGTAGTAATTATAATTTAATACCTGGTGCCATCTATTCTAAAAGAAACGAAATAAGATGTTGCAAAGTCATTATCATATTATGTATCTTTATACATGTTGTTTGTCATTCGCTATTTATAAAATCCACTTCAACAAGTTGCAAAGCATACGAGATTATATTTCGTGAATAAAACAATTGACTGTCAAAATCAGAACACACTATACACGTGAAAACTTTGTGAAACTGAATGATAATGCAGCTCATTTATTAATTCATTAGTTTTAAAATGTCAATGTTCTCCCGAATAAATTTATTAATTTTTGACCAGGCTCCATAGCACAAAATATATTTAAGGTTTGTTGTGACACGCCACTAAGATTCTGTGTATTTTGTTATTTAAATTCCCCGCCACAATGTGCGTATGCATGTCATTTTCGCCACAGAGGTGACACTTGGCACATTGAAATGTCCCGCCAATATTACCTACATCCAAAAATTGTCCGTCTTTTTATAACAAAAATTTTAATCGTTGTTAAATTAATAAAACTAATGTAAGTAAATCTTCAAACTTGGTACCGCGTTAAATTAAAATTATTATGAAATCAACGCGTCACGGATTTGACGCATGCGTAATCATGGCGCCGAGTAAATTTCAAAAGTGACATTTGAGAGTTTTTTTTTTCAAAATTTGTTTTTCCTCGCCACTTTGATACCTTAGTGTGTTACATTTATCACTGTATTGTACCTCTGCGGCTGTGTTGATATCACAATGCGCAACCATACTCCCCCAAACTACCACCGCCTCCACACCGTGAAAATCAGCAACCTGTCCTACTCCACCTCTGAAGATACCCTTGAACGCATTTTCTCCAGATATGGTTCAATTGGTTACTGCTATATCGCTAAGAACCCCGTAACCAAGAAGAGCAGGGGCTTCGGCTTTGTAAAATTTTACCATAGATCATCCGCAATAGACGCAACTTATCGTCTCAACGGTGAAGTCATGGAAGGAAGGATCATGGAAGTGAGCCTGACAGACAGGAGATTGAGAAGAAGCCTAGCAAGGCGCGTCAGACGCAGCGAGTCTTCAGACTCAAACTCCTCCGAATATTATTCGCATAAATACCTCACCCTGAAAGTCGAAAATTTGACATATCGAACAGACGAAAAAGATTTGAAAGACAAGTTTTACCACTGCGGACCAATTGCTGATATTTACGTGCCCAGGATTCGTCATACGCATTTGAATCGAGGGTTCGCTTTTATTAGGTTCTACAGAAAGTATGATGCGATTTTTGCCATTGAAAATTTGGACGACACCAGGTTGAATGGGAGAAGGATTAAAATCAGGGAAGCGAGATACGGGAAGCCACCCCCGAATAGGAGATTTGCTTATGGGTCGTCTCCCATGGCAGAAAAGCTCAGAAAACATCGCTAGTCTACAGGATGTACGACGAAGTTTGCGCCAAGTTTACTTTATCTCTACTCAACAGATGGCAGCTGTCATCATTGCAGGTTTCCTTAAAAAGAGACTTTACTTTGTGGGTTGTTGTCAACGGTGGTTTATATTTCCAATTGCAGCACAAAAATGCGCTCTTTTGTTATGTTGCTAGTAGCTTTTACATAAATTATTGGGAATTATGTAAGAGCTGTGGTAACGTAATTGCATTTTTTTGTATTTAATGTTTTGTCGTAATAAAGTGTTCGTCAATAAGTTATTTTTATTCGTAATTGTTGTAAATAACAATACAATCTTTATGGGAATTTTGTTATGCAATAAATCAATAAAAAAGTACTTACATTTGTTTCAGCAATGAATACACAATAAATGCAGAATCAGAATCTAACTTCCCCTTTATCTAACAAAGGTCATGTGCGCATAAATTAAAAATAATATTTTGATAATGGTTAATTTAATTCTAAGAAAAGTAAACATCACTAAATATATAAATTTAAACGTTGTTGTAGCAACACTTTACAGCAAATTTTCTAAATATCAACATGTTGTACAATATACAGTAAACATTCGACGCTTAAAAAAGCACTTGTTTCCTAGTGGGTCTAATCTGTCAAGTACAAAACAATAAGCAACAGTAAAATTTTCATAGACTTATATGCCATCAATTAACACGCAAATAAACTAGTACCCAAAACACAAAGAGCATTACTCGTCCACTCCGTGCTCGCTGTGCTTTGATCAACAATCAATGTACAATAAATAATGGAATGTTCCCTAACAGTCATTTCTTTATAGAAAATAGGAACTAAATACTCTTACAAATCCGACATGAATACACAGAAGCATCAGAAAAAACTAATACATCTAATAACAGCCAAGCTACAGTCACAGTCTAAGGCAAGAAAAGAAATCAACGAAAAAAACATCAAAATTCGTTTTACCTTATTGACTAATCTGATACAACACAAATGTAAATCAAATTTGTAACTTTTGGTGACTCACGACACACACCAAAGCGCGCATGCGCGTAGCCACGTGGTCTAAACTCTGACTAGGGATTACTGCCGAGGACGAGCCGGGAGAGGAGGTGGAGGAGCAGAGCGAGCAGGTACGGGCGGAGGCTCTCTTTGCGGTGTAGACGGCGCCGGCTCGGGTCGTGGGGGTGGCGGCGGCGGTCCTTGAGGCTCCGGAGCACTCACAATATCGTCGTTAATTTCCTCATAAATACCCGTATCTTCCGGAGGAAGCTCGGGTGGCGGCATGCTGGGTGGTGCTGACGAATTCATGGAGGGCAAACTGATGACACCGGCTCGAGGAGGTGCTCTGCGAGGAGTCGCGGGTGACTTCACCGCAGGAGGTGGAGGACGATTAGGTGGGGGCGGTCGTTTCACCTCTGGAATGCCTAAACCTGGAAAAAACTAGTTATCTTAATCTAACAGAAAGAAACCCACTCACAGTTGTACTCGGATTGAGTGGGTGACGTATATAACGGTACGGTGTTGCTAGAACATAGACCGACTTCCTCTTTCGCTTGCTCGACCCAGTTGGGGGTTTTTAGCGATAAAGTAAGATGATGTTCTTGTATCTGAAAAACTTGTATTAGAATTTTTACTTTAAGGCGACTTTGATTTGACGTACCCGGCCTTGAGTTTTGTTCATTATTTTGAGAACGGATTGGCCGTCTCTGAAGGTTATCCACATGGTGTCTGCGATAAACCTTACCAAAATGGCTTCACCAAATTGGGTGAAGTCTTCTAAAAGAGTAGCGACAAGTTGGTCGTCAAAAACTTCATCATTCTGAGATCCACCATCATAGTTGATTATGATGGTGCCATCTGGTGGTCCCATGTCAGCAATAACTTCATAAAACATGTTCTGCCGCTTATTTTCGTCTATTTTTCGAGCTGTAATATCAATAACGGCAATCACTGGTCTGTGGTCGCTTTGTTTTAGTTCGGAGCGGCCGTAAAAGACGAGTTTTCCGGGGTTACAATTCTCTAGTTGATTCGTGATAGCGAAAGATTGTTTTCGCCGTCTCCATAGAACACGATCTGTCCATGCAGGGGCTCGACATTTCTCGCTTGTATCATAATCATCACTGAATAAATCATACTTGTATGTGGGTGGGAACGTGATTTTGCCTTCAGTGAAATCTTTGAAGACATTTCCTTCTTGTTGTTGTTTCTAAAATAAATTATCACATGGTTTATAATAAGTGTGTCACCACTATTAGTAAAATTACCATCAGCTGATCACACTCCAAAATTTTATCAAAGTCCCCTGTCTTTATCAGCTCCTTAATTTCATCCTTGTCCATATCAACTCTATAATTGAAGTCGCCACACCAAAATAAGTATTCGTGGGAGTTCAAGGAGCGACTCTAAAAATCAACCAACATAAACTGACTTAAGTCACTATTACTTAAACGTTACCATCGGAAATGTAATCTTTCTCGTGATTTCGTTATAATCGGCATTCCTTTCGGCCACTTGATTTTGACCTGCTGCAAAGTGTGCACAAACGAAGCACAATGAAGTCGCATGAAACACCAGTCTGATAGCAGCAGCGCCCTTGTTCCCAGTATGTCCCCCAAGTCCAGTCTTTACAGAATCAACAGCAACATCTCTAATGTAAGGCACATGCTCAGGCCTTACAAACAAGTACAAACACACTCCAACCAACTGCTGATACGTCACCAGCACGTAAGGTCTATCCCGTGACAAAACCTTCTGCAGTTCAGTGGCCCAAGACTTGGCATTCTCGCTACTAGTATTGACAATATTAGCCGCATTTAAATCTACGATTTCTTCAAAACCTATAGCATAGATGTCCACAGGGATCGATCTATGGTCATCTGTGTAGCCTGTATCTACCAGGGTTCCGGGGCTTTTGACATGTGGATCGAGTAACCAATCAGATAGTTTGATATCTTTGAAAACGACACTACGGAAGTGTTTACCGCCGTTAACATTGTAGGTACCGACAGCTATGCGGAAAGGTAAAGGATCGGTATACTCGGTGTATCTTTTACACATTTCGCGGAGGACATGAGGGGGTGCATGGAGGGTATTGTACGGTAGTAACGTTCGGGCACGATCGGCTAGTTCAGTAGATAAAGTAGAACCTACTAGAAGAATATCAATTGCTTCTTGTTTTGAGTTATCTAGAAGGTTGTTTTGGATGGTTCTCGCTGCCGAGCGCGCTCCATCCATCAGCTGAGAGAGTCATTATTTAGTAAATGCGGTGAAGCTCGCTTCGCTCGCTTACCTTCGACCCGCCTTGTATGGCGCCCGTTCCTGCGTATATCTTGCTGATTTCATTCCCGTTATTAATCCACATCTGTTTGAAAACTTCTTCAAACCGCGATACTGTTTGCCTTTTATCTACTAATTGCATAGATTGTAATTGTTTGGCTAAAATCTGTTAATACGTTTACGCAACTGTAGCACATACATTACTTTATTACCTCTAACCCGAAAAATGTTTGAACACAATTAGTCCTATCTAAACAGTCTAAACAATTTGTTCGAATTGTGCCCGTTTGTAAGCTACAAATTAGTATCAGGTTACTTAAACATTCACAAACTACGCATGCGCGCCGCTAAGTCACTTTACCTGTATATCGTAGTGGAATTAGCGTGGTAATACGAAAATTCTTGGATTTGTTGATCTACTTTGGTTTTGAGTTTTTGAAGATTGGTTTGATTGCCGCCACGGCACTCTTGGTGGTAGTCAAAAACCACATGAGGAATATCGCTATGACACGATTCTTTATGATGTCTCTGAAACTCCTGACTGAGAGTGGCTTCGCCTTCTTTACTCCCAATTAAACTTGTTCCTAAGAGATTCACGATTACTTGTTTACCGTATCTTTCTTTGATGGTCTTCATATGTCTATCGAAAGCGGCTTTTGATGCTTCGTACCCTCGGGATATTCGCACTTTATGAGAACCTACCTATACAAAAAAAGGGGAAAATGTATTAAGATGGTAGTTTAAACATACTTGAACTCCAGGTTGTTCCCAAAACAACGGAACTGATCCCCGGGTTTGTAAATACGACGAGACTTCATTTTCTAAGTAGATTACTTGCTCAGTCTCTACAAAATTAGCTACGTGGCCTTCATCATTACTTCCTCGTACATTGAATCTAAAAAAGGGTGAATAGAAACTTGTTGGAAAAAAAATAAATAAAATGAGTACCTAGTGCCTGCTCTTTCGCAACTCAACCTTGATATAACGGCAGCTAGTGCTTTCCTATGACCTACATAAACGGTCCTAATTTCAACTGAACCACACATTGACCTGACCAACCATGAATTACAGTCAACACCAAACCTAACTAAGTGCACATGCAGCATACGATTCCTAAAAACGGTAAAATAAGAAACGCAAACGTTTTGTTTGAGCTACTACCAGAAAAATCTGTGGTCCGTTGTGCCGGTTTTTTGCCTTCTCTGTGCACATAACGTTAAATCTAGTTGGGGCCCTCCAGGGGGCCCCGAGTACCACGAAAAATAAAATGTTCCTGAATTTAACAATTTTCGGACCTGGAATAGAATTATAGTGTGCCATGAGCTAATGACAATCAAATCATAGTGTGCCATGGATGGCGTAATACTTTGCAACAATAACAACATAGTGTGCTGTGATCTGTCAAAATAATACTCTATTCTGAATTCTGTGACTTTTTTTAATAAAAAACGAACAGTTAGAATAAAAATCATACTTCCGCTATCCTATCTTCATTCTGTTGGTAATGCAAGGGTACGAACTGGGTCTGTGTTATTCGAAAAATCTCAGAATCTCCAATTTTCCCCACAGAGAAGCACCCTGTCACCATGACAAGATACAACACCGTCGTGTCCCCCGAATACAGTTGTAGGACCCCAAGACAGCCATAAGCATCTAATATTTTTGTGTATTCCTTTTTAACTACTTCTGTTTCCGGTGAGGCTGAAATACAGCATTGAAAACGTGAAAAATTGCTTTGAGACAACTTACAAAGTACAGCCACTGCTTGAGACTCAAAAAGGAGGGTTTCATCTTTACCCCTACGTTGCAAAAGTACACTGTGTGGGTTCGGGGGTTTTGATTTTTCCAAAACTGAGAAGCTCTTGTACATAGCCATCGTGCGTTTTATTTATTCTGGCATTTTTGTTGATTGTTCACTGACAGAAGTACAGCTGATCTGTTGTTATTTGAGCACATACACCCCCTAACCAAAATCAATTCAACTTGCGTCGCCGTAGAAAGCGAACGTCCGGTTTAGTGCTGTACGGCCATTCCAGTGACAGTAATGCCACGTTTACGCCGGAAGCGAAACGTAAACGCAAACATAAACGTACGAATTAAGTGGTATGCGCTGTTTAAAAGGTTGCATATACTCCGGAGTTACAATTTATCATTTCACAAGACGAAGAGAGATTGTTGCCTAATTAAGTCCTCTCACTGAAGAAGCGAGTTTTACAAGTACTAATAATCCAAGAACGTCGGAGCTAATGATGTGGCGCCGTAATTATTAGACAAGAGTCTAAAAACGGTTAGCCCCAAAAAGCTTCTATGCTGTTAATTGTATTCTCCCACCCACTTGTCCAAGGTGTATTTTACATGTTTAATTTATGCTGCATGCGTGAAGAATTTTGCGTTAATTTGGTCGTAATGCATAAAACCTTTGGTAAATTTGTACGCTCCAAATTTGGGAGGTACTAATTACTGTTAAAATACACTTTTGTGTAAATTATAATAGCCTGTTGACTCTTAGTTTATAACGCATTATGATTGAAAGGTTCAGACTTTGTAAAAATTTCCTAAGTTTTGTAGGTGTTTACTGCTACAAACCGTTAAAACGATGCTTTTGTTTTTCTACCAAAATCTCAAAATCATCTGTTGTATCATGCATGAGCGTAGCATTTCTAAGAATTGAGAATTAGTTTACGTTAGTTAAATTACCTACGTCAAAATTCTCTCTATAATATTAAAAACACTTTTGTCTTCATTATCGTATGCTATTCAATATATCATTAAACTTGTTTTTACAGCATATCAATATCTCCACTAATAAGCAAGCTATTACCGACAAAAAGTTCCATTAAAACATTGAATATAAAATATTACAAAAAACCCATTACTTACCTACTGCACATATAAACTTTAATTTTGACATTTTTACCTTTCATCTCAACATTTAAAAGGAGATAATTATAACACAAAAATCATGCTTTCGACTATATTTGAAATTATAGAAGCGATATAGAATTTTTACGTCAAGTAAGTACTTTCAGTTAAAAATTATTCCGGCATAAAGTCGCCTCTATAATGTTTATATCAAATGTTAAATCACTTTCAATAACATATGGAAGCACTTAATGATATTTGTCACCTGGCTTTTAAGTCGCTTTTAAGCTACTGCACGAATTAATTTATGACCTAGCTCGTGTTATTCAAGGTTTCTCATGATTCAAGTTTAATTGATTGTAGGGTCATTATTGTACGTGAAAACCTTACTTAAAGCATTTTATAAACAAATAACAAATATTAAGTGAATTTTAACGCCAAAACTACTCTTAGTAGTGTCACCAGGAAAATAACGAATAGCAACACATTCCTGATGTTTTTACATTTTTGTAGATTACCTTCACCTGCATATTTGTTTGACTCATCGAAATTTGTTTCCTTATTTTTATTTCGTGATTGCTGGTGTCTAGGACATTCATTCAATAAATCTCACACGATTTGCTATACATCCATTAGTCACACTGACAGATATCATAAATCTTAAATTAAAATATGTTTTTTTTTTATTGAATTAATTTATTAATTACTCGCAATTTGCATAATTTTGCTAATTTCTATCAAAGATGGTTATTTCAAAAACAAAATCCAAGAATGTGTTTGTTCAATATTTGCCGATTTTCGTCGTCGAGCCGACTTGAGAAACGCAAACCAGACATTTTGCGACGAATCTCATTACCATCTAATTAGACTATTGTGAAGTTATTCTGCCTATTTATTAGTTTAATTATGACAAGTTAGTGTATATAGGTGACGGGATTGCGTAAGTATTGACTCTCAGACGAACAACGGTTAAAAAAATATATAGGACAGTTGGATTTGGTAAAAAATCGAATAACTGTAATAATAATAACTTAAGCAATTATCACTTACGTTACAATGTTTGTAAAACAGGGATGAAATATAGACTCTTCCATTTAGTTCTTCTTCAATGTTTGAATCGTCAATTGCAAGCGACTCTTCGTCAAATTAAGTGCGCTAAAATGTTCTTTAATTATGCTATCATTTTCGCGTGTGCGTTACTAGTAACCAGCAAAAGTCTACCTGATAGTAATACTGATATTATTTCAACCTATGCCAAAGTGGCCCACTGGGGAGCCGTTTCGACCAGCACAACCGAAAAACCCGAATCGGAGGCAAGAAGCCACAGCGGACAGTCCCTCTGGGCTCACAGGTACCCAAATCACACTCAAAGTAGCGACCCTAACAACCCATTTGTAGATCCGACGTCAACATAATCGGAGGCCAAAACCTAAAAACGACCAGACCCAAAGTCGTCTATCAATACGCGGTACAAAAATTCGGACAAGAGAAAAAAGATGTCGTTCCGGGTGTCGGCGAAGTCCAAGAGCGCTTCAACCCGAGACCTTATTTTGACTATACCCACGTACCGTCGTCAAAACAGGCACCCAAAACCGAAACCAAAACGAAAACTAAGTCGGACTCCAACCCAGCGACCTTTGACAGCTTCCCCGTTTTTAACCCTCCATCGCCACCGGCACCTGCGGATTTATATTCGTCACAATATAGCTCGTACAATCCACCAAGTGCAGGTCCTGTACCATCCTCTGATAATTCTAAGCCCGATGTGGCTTACCCCCCGAATGCGCCACCACCTGCCGACGACAACAGCGACTCGGACTCTGGTTACCAGTATAATAGCCCTCCACAAGACGCTCCCGCGGCCCCCGTTGGTCCTCCGGCTCCCGCTTACCCGACGCTCGGGCCTCCATTAGCTCCTAATCATCACGACCATAAGGAATATTATCCTCCAGCTGACGATGACGATGATAAACAACCAGCCTTCTATCCTCCTTCTGACAGTCAGGATCGTCCTCATCCGCCAAGTAATGGTAAGGATTATGGTCATTATCAAGATCATGGTCACAAAGGACAGCTTTATTATCCTCCTTCTGATGATGGTACTCCTCATGAAACGATTTTGGACCATCCTCCTCCAGGATGGCAAGATAGTAAGCAGAATATGGCTCCGGATATGGGAGCGGCTCCAGATGCAATGGATGGTAACGGGATGAACGGAATGAACGGGATGAACGGGAACGGGAACGGGAATGGGCATGACATGGCCGAACATGATTTATCGCCACCGCCATCGTCTGATTTTGGAGGACAATTTCCGCATTACCTGTACAACGATCCGCATGGCCAAGGTCATGATTTTGATTACGATTTTGACCATCACCATGTTTATAAAGAAATTACCACGACGGAGGCACCTGAAGACGAACGTGTCAACAAAGGACACTACAGTTATTATTATTTAGGACGAAAATTATGGTACATTCCTTTGTATTTTAGTGTGTATTTTATCATTTATGTTACTGTATTAATTCTGAAGTCTATTGCTAGACACAAGATTCAGTTTAAGCATCAGTATCTTCATAAAGATATGTCTAAAGACATGTCCAAGGACATGGGGCATGGAAGGTCGTTCGATCTTGATGAACTTCATGAGAATGTAACTACTGCTATTGACACAAGCAGACGAAAATTTACTTATGTCGCTATGTAAATGTATGTAAAAATAAAGTTAACAATAAAGATGATAGGTAATAAAGAGGTTATGATTTATTATTGACTTTAAGTTGCAAAATTGCGAATAGTTAACGGGTTTTTAAAAACCTGTCATAACTAACTGGTTCTTGAGTCGGTTAGAATTTGTCTGGGAAAGCAGACGGTTTAAATAAATATCACACGGTACAATTAAAACGAAAGTAAGAATTTTATTATTGTCACCGTCTGATCCCACAGGTGGGGATTAACATAAATATTGAAAAAAATAATTATGGCATGGTCTAAATTGCGAAAGTTTCGCTTTTGTTTAAACTTGAGCCGTAATGATTTGAGGCCAAAACCGTGTTTTGAAAACTACCAGTCATTAATAAATACCGTATTTTAATTATCGCGTATGGTTTTACTCCAGTTTATTAATCTATGTATATATAACTAACAGAATTCCAGCATTATTTGTAATTGCAATTATTACCTAATTCCGTTAGCCATATATGTGCTAAATTATTATAATTACCACACTTTTGAGATGTCTCGTTGAAATAATGATAGTCTCATTCGAGGTTCACCACGACAAAGACATTTTTCATAATTTTCGCAAATCGTTCCCTCTGAAAACCAAATCATAGCCGGAGGTGAATTCAGTGATAGTGTAATAATGTCGGGTTGTTCTTGTGCGAAGTTGTGTTGTTTGTTGTTTCTGGTACAAGTTGCTCTTGCAAGAACGACCGAAAACTACCCCGTAGCAACAACTGAACATCCGACAGAAGAATTTTCTACAAAAACAAGGTATTTATCGCCAATAAAGTATTTCCATGAGAATGAATGCGATGTTCGATTAGATACGAACAAGGCTTGGAGGATTATGACGAAGCTCAAGCTCGGCAAGGTAGAGGAATGATGGATTTCGACGACCACGACCCGCATGATCACGACCACGATATGCCAGAACAAAAAGCTGTCAAAGAAGATCCCTGGGCTGGATATTACGATTTTATTATCAACGAGGGCTCTTTCAAATTCTGGGCGGCTTTTCAGGTAGTTATGCAACCAGCAATTAGCAAAGTAATGCAAAATTTCAGCGCCATTCCGAGCGGGTTTTTTGTCGGTTGTTTATTATTATTTTTAAAACTTAATTTACAAGTTCGTGAGATCTCCCGTTTAAATTTAATCATAATAAAATCATATTTTAAAAACTGGTCACGTTTGAGTTTCCTGCGTCTATAGTCACGGCTATTTAAGAATTACATATTTCGTCGGGTGTAGTTTTTTGCAGCTTGGTTGCAGGAAACTAATAAAATTGCGTCATCTCACTGCTCTGATAGCCGGTTATTAATGAAATTTTTTAATTGCCCGTCGAGTAGTTTGGCTATTAAATAAATTAAGCTCGGATGGGTTCGATTCTTAGCAGCGAGTCAAATACCTATATTCAGTCTTTGTTACGTGTAGATCGTATCACGGATGAACGAGAATTAATAAAAATTCTCATCATTTTAATAGCTAATTATTCATAAACACATACGTGTATTTAAGGCAATTATAATGTCATTTATAATTTTTTCTGTTTCAGCTCATAACCGCCGTTTTACTAATCTATTCGGCATTCGCGGCTGTTTACTATGCAAAATTCAACGTCATTACTACAGATTATGATTATTATGATGATTTCTTTGGAAGGTCAAACCAGGAGTCATCTTCAAGCAGTTTATGGTCAGGTTTATCGGCGCAAACATTTCAAAGGATATTCGACGCTCTGTCCTCCAAAAAATATTCATAAATGTACCCAACGAAAAGCCAAATACTTAAACCAAAGACTCCATCCATCATGCTAAGCTTGGACTTCCAACTTAAGTATTTGCGCTTTTCGTCCTCATAAATAAAAAATTTATAGTCGTTCCTCCACGTCTTTTTATTTTCGTTGTAAATTTATTTGTCGCTAACGGTACTGACAACAGTTTTGGTTTGTGTGGTACCACTGCAAAATTCGCGTCACCGTCAACGTGACATCATTTTGTCAAGCGGCGTGACGTCATCCTGACACGGCTGCCGCTCAGCTTGCAGTAATTGTCATCGGATCCCATACAACCTGAAATTTTTTAATCAGGGCTGGAATGTAGGCTGGAAATGGATCAAGTCGTTCATGTGGTCACTTCGTTCTGCAACTAGCCTAATAGGCATACTTACATTATTATACACATAGTTTCAATTAGGCGCACGTCAGAACAGTTATCTACCTGAAAAGAATAGTCATAATACAGCCAAGTAGATCACAAAGCTCTTCCATTACAAATTTCATTAATCCAAATGACTTCACGTTTCACTTGCAAATTAGCAATAACAGTAATAGAAAAATAATGAATGGTACGTTTTTGGCAGTACCGAAAGTGAAGTGAGCAAAATTTGCAATGGCAGCGTGGGTACGTGGTGGAGACGCATAAGTATCCGCGATAACCTGTGCAGTGGGTACTTGGCGTGCGGTTTGGTGCCATTGAACCCGCTCTAAGGCACTTACTTCCTCTACTTTGTCGTCTCTACTCTATACTCTTCATGACACTAAACTCCAAACCGATATGGCCGCTGACACCGTGCTCATGTCCACCAAAATGCAAAGACATAAATAAAAGATTGAGTCGGCGAATTAATTTCGGGTCGAGATAATGCAAGAATTCTACCTCTAGGGGTACTCCGCACAGATAAGCCAGTTTTTACGCGAGTTTTTACACGGTACCACTCGTTTCCGGCAATCAGTCATTTTCGATTAATGACAGACTTAAATGACCACATCAACATCTTCATTTATACAGACTGGGAAATTATTTATGGATGCAGCGTCTAAACGTTCCATAAATCTTGCAGCGCTAGGCGCAATTAGCGCCTATTTCAGACGCAACCAAATTACTGCATTTTATCACCTGCAAAGTCCTTGGTACTACACTCGTCTGCAGCGAGCAGTCGGTGACGCGAATGACATCACTTGCAGATAAAATTTCCTCTCAGGGCCAAGACTTCGGCGCAAGGATGACGTCACGTCAACTTTAACCTCATTTCCGTAAATTTTTGAAAAAACTGAAAGCGCGTGTTGGTAGAAGGAAGCTGCGAGTAAGGTGGGAAAAAGCGTCGCTTTGTTATAGCCGGCGCTTTTAAGCTTGTTAACAAGAAGTTCCCACACATTATTTAACGAATTAACAGAGTACCATTGTAAGTAAACAGAACAAATAAGAAAAGCAAGCATTATCCCAGCGCGCTCTTGTTTATGATAAATAAATTAAAAGGAACTCACGCAACGGTCGTTTTAATTAAAATTTTTCCAAAAAATTACCATCCTTATCTAAAAAATGCATCAAAATTTTGCTAGAGTGGCGGTATCTGTAGAGCCCTATCAGGTTCGCTTTTTGACGGAGACGCCTAAGCGCTGCAGGTGTAATAAGAAGATCTGAGATGTAAGTCAGAGCTCGGCTCAGAGTTTCTGGGGGCACCGGCGCGTTCACATGGCTGCGTAAAAACTACATCGCAAGAACAATACTCGCTCTTGTTTATTTATTTTGAATGTGACCATGCTTGCATTTTTCTCGTGATCGGTAGTGATGGATTTATGGTGAACCATGGAGACTTTCTGTGCTTCCGGAACACCCCAGAAATTTCGAACGGGTTTTGGGAACTACCACCACAATGTACCCTGCCACAGGAATCTGCGACAGCTCGGGGTAAGTCAAACTAGTACTCAAAAATTTTTCTATAATTATTGAAAACCGAAAAGACGCCGCGGAATGATTAAGATATCATAATTAACGACCTATTCATTAGTTTTGAAGGCGATAAATTTGTTTTGTCGGTAACGCACTAATGGAATATTTATTATTTAATAGTGCGACTCAAGGCTCAAGATTTGTCGTTAGGAATTTTTCTCTTTTTGTAAAATCCTTCGTTTTTTTTCGCCATCACATGTCATGCTGAAATTAGATTAGCCACAAAAGATTACATAATTGTATATATTATGCGTAATATCTATTATTTGTGTTTTGGATCACGTATTTCTTTTTTGCTCAAGGTGTCGGTACCGCGCGGTACTTCCGTCGTCAACAAGGGGAAAATGTTCCCAAATCAATAAAACAAATGCAAAAACGTCCTTTTACATAGCAGTAACTGCAAAACTGTGTACAGTAAGTGCATTATGGATGGGTAGCATGTGGTTGATTTTATACTTAATTGCAACCGGTGTGACATTGTGAAGACGCGAATGCGGTCATTTCTAGCGATTTTAACGATAGCTGGAATAAATCTGAATAGAATCGATTCCGTTATGATTTCATGCTGGGATTGTGGTTAATAGGTTAGATTGATTGAGTTATTTTTCTGATGTTTATTGTATGAAATTGTAGCTGGCAGTTGACCTCTGACTTCTCTTTGAAGACACCGCGCGGTACTATGAATTCACAAGCAAATATTGTCAAGGTTTATATAGGTTGACACAGGTGTTCCCGCGCTAAATAAATCTTGACCTACCTAAACGCACAGACGTCTAATCGGCTCTTTGACATGATCGAACTGCCAAAAGAGCGATTTTTTGCCCGTCAAAAAAAGGATTAGCGTGCAGACATGAGATAAAGTGTCCGAGTCTTTTGTCTAAACTGCTAGTTCTCGGAAATTTATAAACAATGTTCCACGTATGCTAATTAAAGAAGCAACGGAAGAACATTTAAATTTTTATTGTTACAAGTTCCTCTGTTCATCATGGTCAAAGATTTTGTAATTTTTTCAAAAATAACGACCTTGAATTTCGGCAGTGACTAAGAGATGATCAAAGTATAAAATTTTAATTATCGAATTATTCTTTTTTCGCCTGCATTTCTTCAATATTTTTACGGTACGATGAAGCTAAATTAAGTGGATTTTTTACCCAATTATTTTCGTTTGGTTAAGCATTGAAACATGGGAATATTGCTTAAAAAAGTATAATAAAGAACGGGCTCACAAAACGCAGATATCCATTTGTAGGAAAAAAATCACAATAAGTGATAAAAAATAGGCGATGAGAACATTTCTCAAACTTGACAACCATGATAAACAAATTATTTCGATTTTCCATCATCTTGTGAATCATAATTGAGAGGATAATCGACTTTGTGAAGAGTGACTAGATTACGAGTACCCAACCCGTAGCAAAACACGTCTTTTATGTTATACCCGTGGTACCACTTTTACAGCATACCGTAAAAAGTGTTGAATGTCAAATTTCTTCTGTTTTGGTGTATTTATGTACTCCTGAATACTAGTCAGGCGAGTTTCAAATGTCCGATTCTAACAGTACCATTACGCCCCACATATAAACCTACATTTGCTGTGGTATGTACCTCGTAACGAGAACGAAAAACACGCGTATGTAAATAGCCATGTTTTGCCTCTTCTCGCATTCTTAATATTCGGCTTTGACATTGATATCTCAATTTAAGGTCGCTGGTACTATTCACGTAACACACAAATTAAATGTTGCGTGTAGTACTGAGACCGCTCCAGAGTCACCGGTACTACGCATATTCGCCAACTAACTATTTCAAATTTGCGGCATCCACGTACTAACTGTATGTGCAATCAACAATTTTTAATGAACAAAAGTACGAAACGAAGATGAAATTGCTATTTTTAGCTACGCGTCCTAAAGACTACCACCGGATGATTTGAGATGATGATGAGATAGTGGCCAGGGTCAGAGAATCCTGGCAGTGACCGTGCATTGCGATTATAGAACTATATGAGAGTGCACAATGTCGTCCTTGACTTGGCTAAATCGACGTTCTCACTCAATTTCTGAGATTCTTCGTGCTCTGCAACGACATCCCTATTATGTACGAGAGGATGATTACAAAAGCCAAAGATTCGCTCATCTAACGAGCGAATAAAAAAACTTAGATCTTTGATAAACAACGTTTTTCTGTATACTTACATAAGCCTACCAATATTCAACGGTACGATGAACCTAATCTGTAAGTCATCTTTTGGCCGAAACCATTTTAATTTAGCCTTGTCGGTTTTTATTATCTTTATTTCACTTAATTACCGTTCGAAAAAATCTTCAATTACCTTTGATTATGCCGAAAATAATTGTAGTTTTAGAAATAAATTGGATCCGATTTTTATTATGATGGATTTGTTTATGAGCTGCTGTAACAACAAATATGTGGAGGAGCAATTATGACAAATTAGGAGCTTCCGGACTCGGGACGCTGAAAATAGATTTAAACAGCGGATGGCAGATGCAAATCAAGAAACGCGAAGGTCTCGGAACCTGCTCCTTGCTCCGGAAGCTTAAGTAATTGGCACTGATAACATACACCTCACTTTGAACCTACGCGCAGGACCGACTTAAACCGACGTACCTTCGGAAGTAGTAAGAGCAGAAAACTTGTGCAATTTTGCACCCATTTACAGGCATGTTTGCGACCCCTTGAAACCCTGGGGCACTTACCTTACTTGCTTACAATCCGAAGCAGGTCCCACATTGAAGCTAAGCTTGAGCGAGAAATCACATTTAATGAGTACCCACGACGAAGACATGACGCCTAAAAGGCTGCTAATGACAAATACCGCTTTATTTTGCAGTTACAATTGATCTCAATTTTGATCATTCTTGGTCACTTGAGTTTTTGAACAATTTGGCAAAAACAATCAGTATCGTGCTATTTTGGCTACTACACGCGATTTTGACGCACTATAGACATTTCAGAATTTCAGAAGATTTACCTCCCCGACCGTTTTAGGTTAATCATAACGCCCTAGCTGCTTTTTAGAACTTCTTTGGTGCCCCCTTGGAGATGCACCCTAGGGTGACTGCCTCACATATACTTAATACGTTGTGTCAATGTCTCAAGAAAGAATGAAGGGAGGAAGGAGAAGTCAGAAGGACTGTGTAGTCAGAAACTAGGACTAAATATCCTTCGACCTCAGGGTACAAGCGGCTAGAGGCACATAAAGATTATGTGTTCGGTGGCGGCGTTTCTTCATCAGGTTTGCGTCACTGATCCATCATCTTTAATAGGGCGGCGAAGGGTCGTAAATTGATCAAAGCGAACGGATGTAAACAACAAAGGAAGATGATCTTAGTGGACTGTTGCGATGCTACATAATGAAGAACGGCCGTAAGATGGTGGAATGCGTAATGAAGGCAATAAGATTAGTGTGACGTAGTCTTAAAGAATCGAAGAATAAGTGCGAGTGCAGCAATTAAACCGGTCGGCGGTTGGCGGTCGTCAGAATGGACTAATGCAGAAAATCGCGTGTAGATGATGGGGGTAAGAACCTTGCAAGGTCGATTGCTCATCTCGATGAATCTTCGTTGTCTTTTAAATGTCGAGCACGGCGCAAAGATCGCTTGGTTGATCTAAAAGCCGCATCAATTACGATTTATCACATTGCTGGGCGCTAAAAACGAAGACCACCCGTGTTATCGCTGGAAATGGCTAATTGTTGGGCCCTACGTTCCCGAGATGCTTATTAAGATACCCGCCGAAAGTATTTGCTTTTCATTAGTACCGGCGAAAAAACGCTCCGATTTGTCAACAGCGAGCCGAGTTGCGATGGCTCGACGGGAAAAATCACGTCGCGTCATGACTGTACCTAAAACGGTACTCTGCATAATTTGTGAGAATTCACGTTTTATTTTATAACAACGTGAGAAAACGGAAATGGTGCCTTCAATTAATTAACAAAATATTTAAAATTATTTGTAGTAGACGGGGTAACGGTACCATCTGATTCCGAGCGGAATAGTACGGACTTTGGAGAAGTGCGGTACCATCGTTACCTTTATTGGATTTGTCTGTAAAAATTTGTGAATCCTCTCATGCATAAAATAAGATTAATATCGTTGAGGTCGGCTAGGGCGTTGCCACTACATTACATAACGGGTTTAAATGTTTACGGATAAAGTTCTATAATCTGCATCATCTTAATTTGATGCGTTTTATGGTCGCTTTTATTTTTAACCCAAAACTGGTTGCAAGTAAATGTATTTCGTCACGCTAAGTTATTTATTTATCAGTTTCATAACAAACATGAAACGATATAAGAATGCATCCATGAAAACCTGCTTAATCCCTTTTATCCTTGCATAATGACTCGATTTAGACCGCAACGAGATTACTTCAGCTTCTATAAAAAAAGATGCAACATTCTAGAATAGTACGCTATGGCTGTCGATCATACTTTTATGATCTAAGCAACATCTTCTATTAGATTAACCGTGTCGGAGTTAAACGCTGCAAAACGCGTCGATTTGCTAAATCCGTCTAAGCGTAAACGAACCTCGTAAAGTAATCGACTTAATTCTTAATAGTACTTAAACACCAACAATGACTCGACGATCGAATTATCAACGCGCTTCGCCTCAACATAATTATTTCGAGTACGAGACTTTAACGATACATTAAACGACGAACCTCACTCAACTCAAAAGAAAATTATGAATGTGCGTCCTGTATGCGACTCGCTTTGACACTTCCTTGGGTAAATGAACTTTTTATTTCCGTTATAATACCAGTGAAATATGAAACAATTTTGTAATTCAGTAAAAACAAAACGACCGCGAGGATACAGTTACACGACACGAAACAAATTTGTTGCCCTTGTCAATTATACAGTCATTCCGCGTTGTGTCATCGATATTTCTTCACCCGTCGTGCAGCTCTTCTTTAATTGTGATTGGATTTCAGAATGATTACGCTATGCCGGTTTGCAATAGAAGATCAACCCCTTCGGTTCACACCCTCTGGCAGGAAAGAATGTCACCAAGATCGTGCAAAGAACGCAAATCGAGAGGCAAACTGTGTTCGGTTGTTCTAGCGATAGCCTCTTTCCTTGTGTTCGTTGCAGTATTGTCTATTGCAGGAATGGCGCTCTACATGGGGGCGTTACATACCGAACCTCCTAGTAGCAACAGTGAGTTGTATACACCATCGTTAAACATATACAAGTAATCGTTTTCTTTCAGATCCCCTCTCGTTTAGTTGTAGCGCTAAAGTACTAAGGGGCGATCGATTCACGGGAGCCCTTCAAGAAAAAGCGCGTAGATATAGACTGCAGTTAGAGACTTTGTATCAAAGAAGCGTCTTAGGCCCAGCCTTAGTTTCTTGTATAGTAGAAAAATTCGGAAACGATACCGTAACAGTATTTTATAAACTAGGTTTTAATCGGAAAAAACTACCCAAAAACGTATCAAATATTGAAAAGACCATCAGGGACATCCTCATCACGGACGCTATATCTCGAAAACCGGTTTTTAGGATGATTCGATTCGATCCAAAATCCGTAGAAGTTAAGCAAATTAGAGAAGTAGAGTCGTACCAAAGAACTGCTACTAAACCAAAAGACCCCAAACCAACGAAAAGTGGCGTCGTTGTAAAATCTCCACCCTTGACCACGAACGTACCCGTTAAGAAGAAAACTGCAAGCGAGGAGACCGAAAGCAAAGAAGAAGGGTCACCAGTGGTGCAAGGCTCGTTCAAAATAAGCAAAACCGACGCCGACATTACGGAAAAAAAGACTGACAATACAACCCCAAAACCCAAATCCACTACACTCTCGACTAAGGCGACTACGTTAAAAGACAGTTCGGTCACGAGTGCTTTATATAAAATTGCTGCCATAGAAAAACTTAACAAAACTAGCTCAACTATTTCCACAACAACGACAACTACTACCAGTACCACCACAGCAACGACAAAAACGACACAGTTCGTGAGCCCCCAGGTATTCAACGATGAACCCTGGATTCCGATTTTACCGGGCTTGCAAGACGTCAACCCCACAACTTTTGCCACCACTAAATTACAACCGAAGCCTCCCATTTACACAAGTTTTACAAACCCAGGGCTGTCGTACCAGAATTTTGACATGGAACCTCTCGGCTCCACAAGTTTAAAGAGCCACCCCATTCCAGTTAACAAAATCCCTCAAATCACAGAACCTTCAAAATTTGACGAAACCACGAAGGTAGTAACAGAAACACGTTTGGAAGTTACATCCAAAGTACCAGATCCTGGATTCGTGGAAATCGAAACTGTAAAATATACTCCAAGTGCTGCGGTTGGTGGTAAAATAAAACAAGAACAACTCCTCAAAAACTTGTCTTCTATTTTTCACAACTTAGCGTCTACTCTCAAAATACCGCACACTAACGCAAGTGGAAGTGACACGTATTTGGAAGCTGCGGACGGTGATAGTATCGGTCAAGGTCAAGTTGAAGTTGTGGAAGCAGACGAAGAGGCGTTGATGATGCAAACTACAAAGTTGCCGCTCGTTACCTTAATTCCTGTTAAGTCGAATTCTGGGATCGGGAGGCCTTTACGAAGGCGCCCGATTAGGGACGGTGAAAGTTCAGCGGATTTGTCTGTGGAGAATAGGAGTTTCCCGGGGTCGACCCGCCTGAACGACTTGACCGAAGTGGGAAAGAGTCCGTTAAAGTTTATAGAGACGGAAGTAGTGACTTCGGTTAGTTCAGAAGTAAATAAGGTTAAAGTGAACAAGAACCAGTTGGAAGATTTTAAAATTGTTGGAATGTTGAATTTTGCGACCGAATCGCCGGAAGAGCCTCTCAGGAATCCTAAAATGGATCCGCAGGCCAACAGGACGGAAGTCGTACGCGGCCATGAATCCAGCAGCGAAATCAGCGTGTATGCAACGAATTCGTCCGTTTCGAGCAACCGAAAAGAACCCACAAAAAATTTCAATATCTTGACCCCGGAGAAGTTGAAACAACTGTCCGAAATTAGCAAAATCCACGACAATATGACCGTAATCGATAAAGAACCGGTTATATCCAATAAAGCGATTTCGTCCAGTTATACCGTTAATCACTCAGGGTTCAAAATTTTGACCAAGACTTTTAACAAAATCAACGAATTACCTAAGGATAATAAAGTTAATGGTTACAATAACCTTGCGTTTACGGCGTTCTCCAATAAAACAGGTAAAACCTAAACAATTTCGTTTACTCCTTTTTTTACGTGTCAGTTCCAGAGTGTGGTAACTTAACCATAAAATGTGGCGACGGCCAATGCCTGCCCGAAACAACCAAATGCAACCAACTAATTGATTGCAACGACGGTAAAGACGAACAAGATTGCAACTGTGCCGATTATCTCAGATCGCAGTACTTGCTCAGGAAAATCTGCGACGGAGTGGTCGACTGCTGGGACTATTCAGACGAAAACCAGTGCGGTAATTTCATCTTGCATTCCAGTTCCGAATAGAAAAACGCGACGCTTTGTTCTTTGTTTCTTGCAGAGTGGTGCAAGCCGCAACAGTACGTTTGCAGCAACTCGAAAATGTGCATAGACAAAAGCAAAATCTGCGACGGCCTGAGGGACTGTCCGCACGGCGACGACGAAAGGCAATGCGTCACGATCGCCCCCAATCTAAACGCGGCAGACGAATTCCCTTATTTCTCGGAAGGTAGTACCGCGACTATGTACCAATCCACACTAATCTATTTTCTAGGATACCTACTGGTGCGAAAATTCGGGTCATGGGGAAAACTCTGCGTCGACAACCTGCACAGCACGATTTTTCCTATTCCTGATCTCGGAAAAGCTGTATGCAAGTCCATGACTTATCAGTACGTAGAATCACCGGTACCATAATCTATAATCACGCGACAAATTTAGGTCTTTAGATACCGTCGGAACGACGGTCGACGGTAACTCCTCAACCTCACGGTACTTCGAGCTGGATTATTCGTTCCAAAACAGCAGCAAATACAGCCTGTCTTTTACCGACACGGAGTGCGCCAGTAGGAAAATAGTGCACGTCAAATGTCAGTCCCTTGAGTGTGGCGCTCGCCCTAACGCCGTCAAACACATAGCAAGGTAAGCCTCTTTTTTGCAAAAATTTTTCTTTAATTCAAACAGGCGCGCTTACAGGATCGTAGGGGGCGGCAATGCGGGTCTGGGATCATGGCCCTGGCAAGCGGCCCTCTACAAAGAAGGAGAGTTCCAGTGTGGCGCCACTCTGCTTTCCGACACCTGGCTGGTATCCGCCGGCCACTGCTTCTACCAGTATGTCAAAATTTTTGCCGCGGTCAAAAAATACAGTCTTTTGTAGTTCGCAGGAGGAGCATTGGGTGGCACGTTTGGGTGCGCTACGCCGCGGCACCACTCTTCCGTCCCCCTACGAGCAGCTCCGTCCCATTGTTCGCATAATCGTCCATCCTGGATACGTCGATTCCGGTTTCATTAACGACATCTCTTTACTCAAAATGGAATTTCCTGTTATTTTCAGCGATTACGTTAGACCAATTTGTTTGCCCCCGCCGGGTCAAATGGTTGCTGATGGGAGATTATGTACAGTTGTAGGTTGGGGTCAGCTATTTGAAGTCGGTAGGATATTCCGTGAGTGATTATTAATTTTTCTCTGCGAGAGGTAATAGTTAAAATTCCAGCTGACACGTTACAAGAAGTGCTCGTACCTGTGATATCAACGGCGGAATGTCGGAAAAGAACGGTTTTCCTTCCGCTGTATAAAATTACCGACGATATGTTTTGCGCGGGTTATGAGCGTGGAGGAAGGGACGCTTGTCTCGGAGACTCGGGAGGACCGTTAATGTGTCCGGAAGCTAACGGGAAGTGGGTTTTGCAGGGGATTACGAGCAACGGATACGGATGCGCGAGGGCGAATAGACCCGGCGTGTACACGAAAGTGGCCAACTACGTCGCCTGGATTGACAACCATATGAGCAGGGAGGATCACAATAGTACAAAAAGTAGCAAAAGTGTATGTCTAGGGCATCGGTGCCCCTTAGGGGAGTGTTTGCCCAAAAGTAGACTGTGCAATGGATACATCGAATGTAGTGATGGTAGCGATGAAAGAGACTGTTAGGCAATACTTAATTCAAGTGTGATATGAACTTGTATTTATGTACATATGATAGGCGTAAATTTTGATATTTTTATATTTATTTTGGTCTTGTAAGTTGAACCAACTATTTATAGAAATTGTGCCCTTAATAAAAATCTCTTCGTACTGGGTCCGTTTTATTAAAAATTATAGTTACAACACAATTTTCAACATTTATCATAAATACTTGAATATTATATCACAGATATAAGAGCTGCTTCAAGTTACTGTCAAAGCGGGCTTTGACAGGTCTTGTACTAGGGTACGCAAATGTGATTAACGCAACTACTATTAAATTAACATTAAATACATTACTTAAAAGAATAATAAATGCGCTATTGAAATTGAACATTCAGAAGGTGGCAAATTTAGGAACTAAGTACAGGTCATGCGGTTCAACTTGGTGCAACAAGGGTCCGAAAACCAAAACAGGGTTCGTTCGGGACCAACATGTTAATATGTCTTCCACGAAACTTTTTAATTACACCTCGAGGAACTATAAAATCATCTGAAAACCGCAGTTGTAAAACTTAAGAAACCACACGCTAACATCCACAAATACTCATTTAAAAAACCAAGACCGTAAACACTATATCATTTTAATCACTAATCATGTTAGTCTTCAAACGTAGCAATACTGCAAGATTAAATAATAAAACGTTGCATAACTCATTTAAATTTGCATATTCATGCATAGGAAAATATGTAAAATTGTGACCAAAGTTAATAACTTTCTCGGTTTATAATTAGACAGTTGATATGTTTATTCTGCGATTATCGGAAACCTACTCGTAGACCACAAGAAGGTTGTTGTCTCGTAAAACACAATATTTTTTTGTCTGGTAATTCCCACTACTTAGCAAAAAACAACCCATCTAACACCAGATTGAACCTCCGACTTGTATTAACAGCACATGTTTTGATTTCCTAAGTGTTAATTAAATTATGCTGCACATACAAATAGTGGAAAGTCCATCCAAATCACTATGGACAATTGAAATTTTCACTAGTTTAACCTTGTCAAGTACAAAACAAATGTCACACTAGACTAGCTCTAAATTATGCTCCAATACTGCATCTGATTAACTTGCATTGTGTGTAACTTTGTCGTCTTTCTTTTCTTCGGGAGTTTCTTCATTGAATTCCGTATCCTCGAAAGCAGGATTAGCTAACGCGTCTTCGTACACAGCTGGTACTTCACGAACGCCAGCCTTGACATTTAGGTCAACATCCACAAAGCCTTGCGGAGGTTTCTCAACGTCTTTTTTTGTAATGTCGGTACCAGCAGATGGGCGCTTTTTCATATACAAGTGGTAGAAGGCAAGATATACTAAACCAAAAGCGGCGGTGAACATGGCAAATTTTTGGAAAGTAGAACGTATTCCGTACGCTTTGATCATGTAGCCTCCGATTAAACTACCTATGCCTTTTCCTAAAACAAAACAATTAAAAAAAGTTTCAGTTATGTTTTTTTAACTAACCAACTGCGAAATATAAGCCTCCTAATAACCCTTGGATTGTTGTATCAGTGGTCACCGTTGATAATTTCGCAGCGTAAGTCACGGCAGCTGTAAAACTCAAGCCAAAGGTGATAGATTCCATAGCCTCAAAAACCAAACACAACCAAGGGTTGTAAATCACGGAATACCCTATCAAACGGATAGCATAAAACGCAAACCCTATAAAGATAACATTGGCATGTCCGATTTTTTTAATAATGGGTCCGGACAGTACTAATAGTGGAATTCCAACAAGACCTCCAACTGTGATTGTTAAACCCATCAAAGATTTGGAGCCTCCCAAATCTTGTAATAACCAGAACAAAAAACTTTCAATATACCCCCAGGCGGAACCTAAAACAAACATTCCAATTCAAAGAAACAACATCATTCCCCACCAACCTAATACTAAACACGCCACGAACAACAAAAGCAGCTCTACCTTCTTAAGTACCGAAAGAACGTCCGAAATCACACTATGCGCAGGTTTCTTAAATTCCAAATTGATAAAGAGCATCAAGACCCCGCTCACTATTTTCAGCGCTGCGTAAAGAAAGAAGATCGGCCTACAACAGAACAATTAAAAGAGGCACTAACCTCAGCGACGAACATACGTAAAATCCGTGTAACCTTTGCCTCTACTGGCAAAATCCACCAATAAACCTGACACAGGCGAACTAATCATTCCGCCAATAGTAGCATAGATTCTTTGCAGACCATAATCAGCTTTGTGCTCTCTCAAAATCGCGATCACGGCTCCTTCGAACATGGCGAATGAAGTACCACTGACGATTCCCACAAAAACGCGAATCACCAAGTACGACCAAAACGTCACTTGCATATCCATTTCGATAACCGTGTTGTCGTTCGAACACACAGCTTTTCTTTCTGTTGTCATTAAACATCTAGGGGCGCAACTCCCCAAATCCAGGTGTTTTACAATTTCGCTGGAATTTTCACCATAGATGGGTATGGTGATAGAAATGTGTTGACCAGGTTGGACGAAATGTTGCGTGCAAGTCGTATTGCGCGTTTTGTCTACCAGTAAGTCGTAGAATTGACGATTCTCGTCTTCATCTTCTGTAGTTGTTTCCACGGCTTGAACCACGGCCGAAAATTGCCGCCCCAGTTTCGTTTGGAATTGATTAAACATGCTCCGAATCGCAAAAGCGCACTCAATTTCAGACGCGTTAGTCCCTACATCACACGAAAAGTTAAACAAACTAGCAGTCGGGAAGTAGTAGCTATTTGTTGAAAGTTGTCTAATAGTAGTCAGGAACCTTTCGTTATTTTTCAAAGTTTTATGATTCAGAGTTTCAGAAGACGCTTCCGGGACATGTATGTCTTCGTCGGTTAGTGTGTACGTGTAAACATGGGTGGAATTTTTCTCCAGGTGGTAGATTTGTAAACCGTAACTTCTTGCTTGAAGAATCGAGTTCGTCTGATTGTCTTGTAGAATCGCATGACAGGCAAAACCACATGACTCGAGCTGGAGTTGGGTGGCATTTGGGGCTTTGTTCGGTGTACATGGGTGTTGTTGATATAGCGAAAGAGATACCGGGTTGCCTGAACTGCAAGACATCCCAAATACTACTCTGTCAGGATAAGTTATAGTGATTCTACCAACTGGGACTAGTAAGAGTAAGAGAGCCGAGGCACCGCCGATTGCAGAAAACAGTGCCAACAAGACCTGGAAGATAAAATATTTTCGCAAACAAGCAATAAATTAAGGATTAGGGTAATGACTTAATGATTATAGACCCAGAGGTTACGGATTCCGTAAACGAGTTAGTCCCACAAGGGTCAATTTCGAATCCATGATTGTTTGCGGGTTTTTTTAAATGTTAGCAAACTCGCGTGGGAGCTGATGCGTACACTGTCTAGGTCAACGCGGTACATTTTTTGCTCCGAATTTCACCGGTTGTAACTAGTGATTGATGTGCCGATATTTTTTGGTGCGAGCGGGCACTGACCATGTGTATTACGAGTTAATCACTGTGTAACAACTGAATAATGAGCGATGGTTTATCATTAACAGGCTATTATAGAGAATCCTTTACGGGAAAAATGTTGACATCCGGTATCGTCTATAATAGTTAACTATCCATAAAAATTCCTGCTAGCAGCCCCGATTGTAGCTTTCTGCTGAAGCTGAAGTCATTGAATTGTGTATTTAATTAAAGCACACTTAAATAATATCGGCATACTAATGACTTAATAAATAACAGGAGAACGATAATAAATTCCTCGGTAATGAATTCCCTTGAATATCTCCGTTAATTCCCAGATTAATCTTCGCAGACACTTTGACAGTGGCTGCCGGAAGCCATCCTTCCATTAATAATAACAACGAAATAACCGCAATGTAACGATTTTTCGCACAAACGTCCTTTCCGTCCTCAACATTTAAAACCCACCGGCCATGGCGACCCCGTTGCCTATTTTTAACCCTATATACATAAAATAGTAATGTGTTAATGTTGACGAAATTGACAATTACGCAACGTTCTCAATTATCAAAACAATAATTAATTGTTATGAAAACAATCGATCCTTGAAAAATTGTCGATGTCGCATGGAAACACCTGACTTAAGCTTACCCTAAAGTTGCCAATCTTGTCGGCAATCAAACCCGCCAAAGGCGGCATCAAAACTGCTATAACAGGTGCTACAGCGGACATTGTCGCTGCCTCTTCAACATTTATCCCAAGCTCGCGCATATGGATGGTCAAATATGGGTACAGAACCAGCACGGCTAAAATGACATTGTTAATTATGGCTTTGCGGCTAACTTCGACCACTTACTAGACGAATGCATGAAAAATAGCAGCTTCAAGGGCAGAAGTTGCTTCTGCCGAAAGTCTTTGGTTATCCGCCGGAAGAAGAGCTTGAAGTAGTTGTTCATTTTTGCGGAACTGGAAACGAATACGAATCGTGATGTTTAATAACATTATAATTTTGCAGTAATTACGTATATTATGGGGGACTTTATACCCCACGTACCCGCAGACGCGGGCACATTTTCTACGTAAAAGGCAGTAGATACATGATCCCAGCGCATCCTCCCGAGTCAAGTGTCATCTTTTCAGGGTCAACGAGTGTTTACATGACATGGACACTTATTTACACAAAAATATACCTATATGTAAATTTTATTCATTTTTTTTTTGGTCCACGAGTATCTAATTTCTTCCACTACATGTGTCAAACGGTTTCAAATTTGTCGTTAAATGAGACTGAAATGCGACTTTTGTAAAATCATGTAGTATCTTCAAGTAATCATCTCGAAAACCCAAATCGGTTCCAATTTTCCGCTGACTTTTACGGTGGGATTTAGTAGGCGTCATAAATTGATAGTTTGGTGAAGTATAACGTGTATTTCGACAAGGCGGCAAAAGTCAAGGGTACAACAAAAATACATTCTAGTTCATCTACAAAAAGAACAGAAAGTGGTGGTTAGTTTAGTTTTTAATAACAAAAATGTCAGTTATTTTGTATATTTTAACCGGTAGGGTTTATTTGTTTTGAGCGGCATTTTAAAACTTCGTTATCTATAAAAGAAAGACATAACTTAGATAAACGCGTTCTGCGACCTGGGCGTATGCACTTATTACGGTAGGTATTTCACAGCATTAATAAATGACAAAAAGTTTTTTTGTAATTTGTACAATTTGGGTGCGCAACATCGTTAAATCACGAGTTAGAGCCGCCTTTGTTTCAAATTTCCTCAAATGTGTCGTCATACATAGGGTATAAGAATTTTTGCCGTAATAAAACTGGTTACTGGTATCTGGAGATTATATAGTGTATTTATTATTTAAAAACAAAGTGACGTAGCAATAAAATACAGCTTGTTTCATTTGATAAGGTGAACATAATAGCGACGGTATAAATAACTTATAATACACTCGATTTTCTATACCAACGTCAAGCTATGACGCGTACCATCTTGTCAGACGTCATTTTTAAGTGTCACTAGGACAATAAAACGACTTAATCGTGAAAAAATCATTTTTTAGCGAAAACAAAGTATACGTGATTTGGTCTACAACAAATTTTCGAAAAATTTAGTACTCCAGTCGGCTACAAAGTCACAATGAACGATTTTATTTTTCACATACAGACAGACTAGTCTATTTTTAAGTTGTGTATCAGTTTTGGTCGTCGAGTGTGTTACATGTTAGCAGTCCGTCGAGTTTCGCCGAAAGTAGTCAGAATCCCAGTGCTTGGTGCGGAATGGATCTGGAATTTGTGGTCCTCAGGTTCGATTAAAGTCCGCGACCATGACGTATATATTCTCTGTATCCAGAGAAACCCGACACGTTCGAGAATATTAAATAACGAATTGTTATCGATACAAATAATAAAGTTCAGTTGGAAACGTTCGGAAAAGTCAGTCACCGTTATAAAACTGATGATAGTGAAGAGAATGTCAACAAACGTTATTAAATTATCCGAAGGTGAATTCGCTATTGTATAATTTGATGCGTTTGCCTTTCTCTTTTCGAGATGTGCGATTTGTAGTATTGCAAACAGCGAAAAAAATAAATACACCGGCAAGAATCATGTCAATGTTAAAAGTTTCAAGGAATTTGCAGTTTCTTAGCTCAAACGGAAAACTACAAATTATGGAGGGGCTTCTCGAGAGAAAAGTGTGTTACTTTTCCATGGTTGACACCATAATGCAAAAAATTTATCACCACAGAAATTAAATCTTTTCTATTAACAACGCAAAATATGTGTTTGTTTTTTCTATCTATAGGGAATGAGTTAGATCTGCTGGGTCAATGTTAATTAATTTACTTTCTAATTTGGTAAAAAATAAGTATGTGAAATTGTCGCTAACTGGAGCACTTGTGGGTCATCCTCGTCCGTCGAAGCGAATTTCAAAAAACGTGGCAACAGGGGTAGTTTTGGCGGTAAATGTGTTTAAAAAAACTCTGAAAAGTACTCACTGTTTTGAAATGCGTTGCAAAACGATGTTTGTATCACACACACCAACAACAAAATTTGATCGAATTAAGTTCAAATAACAATAGTATGGAGCACACCTAGGAACACAATTTGAAACACAAGCGGATGAAAGCAATTGGTGAGTGTGTAAGCAACACATACACGAATCGGACAGTGACGTTCAGAAGGCAAGTTGCGACCACTACTAGTTTGGAACTCGCGTTGCCATCATGTTTCTCACTAAGAGTCGCCGATTTCATTACCGTAATTATACTCACTGATATGATGGCAAGACCTAGGTCAGCCCGAACGACTCTTGCAAATGCTTTTTGTCTACGGCTCACCGTTAGAAGGCAATTCGCTTTTGACTGGAAATTGGAGAATTCCGCTTGATCTTAATTCTTCTGGCCGGCTAGAGGCGGGGTCCTATTTGCATAAAATTAAGCCGCCTTTATTTTGCAAGTGCGTTTCGAACTATCGGCCATGTCCACAAAGGTGGAGCTTTTATTACACAATCGAAGCCAAAAACTGGCAAGTTCTAATGGAAAAGTACGCCCTAAGGCGGAGGAAATGTTCCTGTGGTCGAAGAATTCTTGTGACACGGAAGTATCGCAACTTCCTCAAGCTTCATAGTTCCCCACGAAACAAATCGTTGCGATATTCACATTTCTATTTCCATTACATAATAGGAACGGGACTTGAGATGTCATTTACATTTGCTGATTTATTCGCTGGAAACCGCCGCAGCGGATTCGGATTTCATCCTGGTCTTCATCACTAAATCGTTAGTCAAAATTACAAAAATAACCACAAGATGACATTCTTAAATCGCGATTACGACATTAAGAATATAATTGTTTTAATTGGAATCTTCCTGTATTTGCCGACTGGGAATTGAAAACATCATTTTCTTATTAAGCACAAATTTGCGTCTCTTCAAAACAATTCAGTTTGTTATTCGGGATTTACTTATTACCGACAGCGGTAAACACATACCGGACACTACAAAAATTCTACATTTATTAAAAAAAGAAAAAATTCGCCAAGGTTGATGAAAACACTTGAATCGTGTGACGCATGTTGTGCTATTTAGCGTCCAGGTTAATTACTTTTTTTGAATGAGAATTCCAAGTGATGACTTAATAACAACAAACCTGAAATATTCGATTATCACTTATGACGCTTCGTAGAAAACCCATAATACTGGACTGATTAGTTCTATTAAGTGCTTTTATACCCAACTTTTAACTTTATGATTGTATAATGTGTTGCCTACACTCGAATTTTTGGCAAAAATTTTACTGTAATAATTGTGACTACGAATCAAGTTATACATTCGACCTAATACAACACCTAAATTAATTAAAACGTATCATGTGTGTCATTATGTGTAATTATTAGGTACAATAAAGATCATAAACGCAATTTTTAATAGAACAAAATCAAGATTGAAATTTCTATTATTAGCGTCTCGATTTAAATTTGCCGCCATACGTTGCAATGTTAATAGCAACACAAGTACCGAGCGGCAAATACAGATATCCGTGTGCTAAAGAAAGTTAAACTCGGATTGAGGTTAAACTTTAGTTTATTTTTGATTGACCATGGAATGTTTATAGCGTGTACACGTGGCTTCTATATTTCAATACATAAATGGCTTTTAGAATCTAGCACTTTGATTCATTTAGTGATGTCCTTAAACCGACTACAATTGGGAGGACACAAAACAAACTCCACAGTTCCTTAAGTTCTCTTTGTTCTACTTTAAAGATTCTTTTTTATCAGCGGTCTGAGGCTTTTCTTAATTCGATTTTGTGTTACGACAGATGCATTTTAGGAACACGATATATCCAAAATTTGCTACTATAGGTGGGACCTACGTTGTGACAAAGTCTAAAACATCAAGTAACACCCGCTCCTGGTTAGACTTTATGTGACGATTTTTGATGAACTTTCACTTCATGAAATTTAAGAGATTGCGAAAGCCACAGTGGAGTTATAACTTTTCGCGTTTGAAAAATAAAAGTGCCAAATTTTCTCAGAAGGTACATGTTTTCATGGTAATAATAAAATTGAAAATGAAACTGAATTTTATAGTGTATTATATATACATTATGAAAAATATCTGTATAAAAGTCACCATTGTCCATTATCATTTTATGCTTAAACTGATGTAAGTGGTCTATATAAAATTTCGACGGAACGGGTTTATATTGCAACAGAACTGATATGGACAAAATTTGATATTTATATTTTGTATGGGCGAAAGCATTAAATTAAAATGCGAAAACAGCATTAAAGGTGAATCGTGACTTTCACCGCAAAATTGTGGTGACTTCGGCCCCGTTACTTCTCTAGTACACAACAGTTTTAATTTTGTTATAAATTATTAATAATGTGGAAATGGCAAGTAACGAAATTTAGTGAACATAGTGACTACATATGGGACATAAATTTTATTAATGGTCATACCATTGCATTGAGTGTGCAAAAATATTATCCAGCTTTCTCGTTTTAAACACGTGAACCTATAAATTTACTTGTACTGTGCAAGAAACAATAGAACTGGGTAATTTAAGTTATGGTCTATAAAGGCAGTACTTACACCTACGAATGTACAGTCAGTCAAGTAAGAGTATTGTGCATGGTTAATACCCAGGTTTAATACATACAGATTTTTTTAAACCCTGCTAAGTTATAAACGTACAACTAGTGGCGGTTTAAAAGCCGACCTTTTATGTATTCACATTGTGATTAGTGTAGTAATAAGAGACCATTGATAACCCTAATGGCACGTGGTAAGTGGTACTAGATGTTTACATCTTTATAATGTGAATTTAAAATTTACAACCTATACCTATAACAGGTAGCATAACAGGATCTCCATTATTGTTAGTCAATTTATTTGTGATATAAGAAAGAAAAAAGTTTTGTTGTAACATATAAACATTATTATTCGAATAATACAAAGAAAGACAATGAAGATAGCTAAGTCTAAATAAGAGCTGGCGAAAAGTTGTGCATAAAAAAACTTGAACACAGTTCAAAATTTAAAACGAAAAACGAAATAATGGAAAGAAAAATGAAGTAACACATACAAAACGAGTTAAAGAAGATATATTAGAAATAATATTCTACAAATTTATATAAATTTTTCTTCGTTAATATTGTTTCGAGTGTCTCTACTTTTTTCGTTGATGATGAAAATTTAAGCTTAGAATATGTTTAAAAGAGAAAAATTCTGGAGCTTCCAATCGAAAATGTGGTTGAATTTTTTCTTAGTAGTTACGCAAATGTTACTTCTGCACCAGAGAAAACATTACAAACCTTCCTAAATAATGTTGAAAATTAACTTCTATAAAAGAATAATTAAATGAAATACAATTGACTTTCGTAAATCTTCTCATAACTGTCAATTTTCGAAATATGCTAGGCAAAAAATGTGTATCATGTGTAATAACATTTACAAAACATATGAACCGTTTTGTGTGTTTCACAGTGATTTTGTGAAAGTAGAGTACCTAATGATGATTCTTTATGCTCTTTAGTGTTCTTAGATGCTTCCTAGTCCATGTTGATCCATCCAGAAGTCAAATATTTTTTGGGAAACATTCACGTCCAGTGTTGTTTTTTTTGTATGTTTCAAGTGCACAATTGAAGTGGTTCTACAGATATGACTTTTTAATGTTTTTGCACGGATAGTTTTTCTTTATTTTTAGGTAATGGTACTACATTTTTACACTTTTCTTTTTAACTTTTGAAATACGCCGAAACGAAAGCCAATTTTCTTTGATTCAGAAATAATATTCACGTATTCACTTTCAAGTACTGGTCACAAAATGAGATAGAAATAAATGAAAATACTTTATTTTGTTTATGGCACGTTTGTGCAACACCTGCACTTAACACGAAAAAACTGGAAATTTAAATATAACTTATTGCAATATTTATTCAAATTGAAAACTGAAGTCGAAGTCCAGATTAATTTCACAAATACATATGTTCAAAGCGTGGCACTTGTATGTAATAGTCACCTCTGACTAGGCGGTGGTGTAAATGCTGCTTAACACCAACATCAATTTCTTAAAAACACCAAAAACCATGAAAATCTTCAACGTCTCAAAACCCGTCGCTTCCATACAGTAAATAACATGATAAGTAAGTGTACTAAAATCGTAGTTTAATTTACAAAATAAATAATACACTTTAGCACTACACAATACATATAGATAACAAAAAAATACAATAAAATCAGTTCATACTTGCACAATATTCGCAAACTTGCTTGCACAAATCAAAAAAAACGTTCACGTCCGCACCTCCCTCCTTATTCGAAGGTGGTGTTGAACATGTTCAAGTCCTCGAACGTGGCGGCGCCCCCTTGGTCTAACATCTGGAGCATATCGGACAACTCGTGCGGCTGCGGCTGCTGAGGCGGCCCGGACCCACTCGAGCCCGGCCCTCCCGACTCCGACGCCTGATTGGAGCCCCCTTGCCAGGTGTTCCACTGGTACGACGGCCCCGGCGCCGCCCCTGCCCTCGACCCGCCACTCAACTGAGTGTAAGTGGGGCCCGGCGATCTAGGACTCGGCTGGTTGTACTGATAGCCCTCTGGAGCGGGCTGCGCCTGACGCAACGTCCATGCCGCCGCAGCAGGGGTGGGGCTGGTTGTGCTACCCTTAGTCAGCCGGCCCAAGACTCCGGCGCTGCTGCTACTAGCGGTGGCCTGGGGTGAACCGTAGGCGATCGGCGACGCAGTCGGCTCGTACGAACTGTACACGTTCTGGCCGCTGCTGGGGCGCGCCGTCTGCTGCGGATCTACGGAAAACGAAAGATTCAGTCGCACCAGAACGAACAATGCGTACATTGATGCCAGAAGGTAAAAATGTGGACGATGCAAAGGAATAACAGAGTTGTGACCCAAAGAATAGGAAGGAAACACTTGGGGGCGTCTGTGGTTGTCGGAAACAAATGGGTTTAGGCCCAGAGTGATTACATGGATACATTTTTGTAATGTAGTTTCCCCTAACCGTTTAAATTATCTTATCTGGTCGATATCAATAATAGAAAAGAACAGCTGAAGTCACGTTCTAGATTAAACGCGTGAACCTACAAGTGTTGCTATGTGGCTGCATTGTATACCCTGGTTTCACTATGGGCTTCCCCGATGCATAAATCGTTTTGTTTTGCTGATTGTTGACATTGTATACTCACTTTGAATATGAGCAGATGGCAGCATGTGCGAATATAATCCAGCGTCCCTCCGTTGTAAACTGTAATCCAAACCGGGTTGTTGATACGAGACTTGTTCTGATTCAGCGGTACCTTCTTGCCCACTGTGTAATGACTTCGCTGTGGTATTTGTGCAAACAATGTACTCAACATCGTCTGTATACGGATTCAGGAACGCAAAAGCGCTAGTGCGTAACCACACCATCTCCCCGTTTTTGGCTCGGAATCTATACATTACTGATAACACTTGTCCCTTGAGTTTGAGCACTGGAAATAATTACCTTAGACGGTACCTTCCGGGTATTTTTATAGTTACCTTGCTCGAAACTATCTTTCATGTGGTTTTGGTCATCGCGATGAATGAACTCAAAACAGCTCTTCCCGAGTAGTTCGGGCGGGGAATAACCGAGTAAACCTATGACTCTCTGATCTACGAAACTGAACTTCCCGTCCATGGAATGGCGCGAAATGAATTCCGCCGTGCTGTTTGAGCCCGAGAGGTCGCTGGTGTTGGGAGTTGAGGTGACCTGAAGGCGGCCTATAGCCACAAGACAGCAGTGGGAAGTGTGCATGTCGTCCTCTGCCTGACGTTCCATTTGAACTCCTGAAAACATGTCTAATTTTCACCATTACAATGTTTCTACGGAACTAGTAATTATCTCACCAGTTGGTGGCCAGTTTTTTATATAACCTGTGCAGTGTACCACGGCGTAATTTTGTCCGTCCCTTCCAGGACCTAAGCTATTTCGTTGTTTCAGCCTGTTCAGATGTCCGATCGCCATGTTCTCGGGCGCCAAGTTTCCGACTTTCATTCGACATATAAACCCCCTCCGGGAACCCATACAGAGTCTCATGGAAGCTGTAAGGACCATCGTAAACCAGCGTCGGGTCAAAAATGCGATACTTACACTGATGACCCTCTTTCTTGACTGTCCCGGTCTTCAGGTCTAAAATTCTTCCTGTGTTTTGGGGTTCTTGCGTAGAGAGTTGTTCTCTGACTTTTTCTACATCTTCGGGGTGTATGTTATCGTACAAGCATGACCCGTACCAGTCGCTCTGTGAATAATTTAAAACAGGCGCGACCGAATCGGACACGTAAATGACGCGACCAGTGTCACAACTGACAACAAATAAAAATCCGTCAGCAGCTTCCAAAATCAGGTGTTTTAATTCCTGGTCTGTAAGAAACGAGGGTTTGTAGGTGCCGTCGGTACTTGTATTGCCCGTCCCTATATAAATAAACAGGAATTGTATAGAGATGTCAATTTGCATGATTCATTTAAATTGATTTGTTTACAGTTCATATCGCCAGAAAAACATATGTGATGACAAGGAATCTGATAAGTTTCCTTATCTCTACGTGCTTTAGGACCATTAACGTTAAGAAATGTCAATATGAGCTTACAAAAGTATTATTTATTTGTTTATTTAATAGAGTTACCCTTCGGCGACGATGTTCGATAAGTTAATGTTATCGTCATAATGTATAATTAGTGTAAATGCAAAACAGAAAACGAATTAAAATATGGTTTCCATCGAACGATCGAACGCAAAGAAAAACAATCACCATTGTTTATATATTACACGGTAAAACATGAAGTCATGTTCTGAAATACTTGTTCAGCAATATCTCACAAAGTTACAAAGTAATAGCGCGCCGGCAGTAACTTTAAATAAATTATAAAAATGACGATGTGTAACTTTCAACATAACGTAACAAAGATTTCTATTGACGAAAGAAAAGCAACGCAAATCCAAGTGGAAAATTTACAACAGTTAAAGATGAATTATTTAGAAATCGTTTATTATTCAAGAAGGTGTTCATGTTAAAACGGACGTCGTCTATTGTTTTGTAATTTATATTCTATGAGCGGCTGTATAAAATCGGTACTTTTGGAAATACCTGTAATAATACCGACGCGTTGTTCCACATATAGCAACAAACAATTCCATTAAAAAAATAAAACTGTTAGAATCGCTGCAGTAATTGAATCGTTTCTAAGTTTGAAATAATTTATTGAATGAGTAATTCCAACAACAACAAATATTTTAGCGACCATTCTTGGAATCCTTTATCGGATATGCAAAACGCCAACTGCATAAAAATTAGTTTCGAACGCACATTGCCTCCTTGGTATGACCAATTTCCATAGCCACACCATTCTTCTGCCGTTGCCTCGGTTCTTTGGAAAGTTATCATTATCAAATCATTCACCACGCGAAGTTATTAATATCGAAATTATATTTTGATACGTACAATCACTCTAATTACTTAATAGCTATTCGAACAACCATCATTATAACGTTTCGTGTTGAGAAATTCGGCCGGATAGAGAGGTACGGCATGTTTCATTATATATTCCGACGTACCCTGACTATCTTCCCCATTTTTCAAGAACAAAGAGATGACCCGCATGGGGACATCGCTTGTCGATCACGTCTGGAAGTTTTTTGCGCCACACCAACATTAGTACCAGAGTCAAATACATATGTCGTGGTCTCAAATCCATGTCGCAATCACTCTAAGAAAGAAAATCGGATTTAAATACTGCGGCATGTATCCGGGACCCGACGTATTATTAGTAAAAAATGATAGGAGCAGGCACACTCGATGGACCTTTCCTACACGATTGTTGAATTCGAGTGTTTGTAGATACAATTGGGTTATAAAGGTTAGAAAAAGCCCATCAGTATGTGTTCTGATAACATGCAAACTTAAGGTCTGCTTATTACCGTTCAAATGGCCAGAGTTTTTAATGGGATCTCCGCAGATCAAAGAACACGTCGTTGTCGTCTTCTCTTTAGACAATTCCACCTCTGCAAGGGGACACAGAAATGATAAAACATTAGATGCAATCAATGGATGAAAGGTTACTTACACAGATGTTTATTGCATCTGTTCAAAAGAGAGAGAGTCATGTTTTTGTAGTTCCGAGAACACGGCAGTGATGTTTTCGCCTTAGTTATTTTTACGATTAAATAATAAGGGCATTAATCCTGGTTAGCGAGAGTGAGCATTCTGTGGCCCATAACTAACGTGATAGCATCAGTTCGTGTAAGCAGCTACGCCACTACACGGAGTTCTACCGTTACGAAGAACGCGGTTTCGAATGGTCCTCGCGACTACCGCGCAGGAAAATTTATGCAGATTCCTCATCAAAACACCCGCTATCGCCTAATACTCACCTCTGAGGGCCTTCATGTGGGCCACAGCCATCCGGAGTATCGTCAGTTTGTCCGGCTTCCTCGCGAGAGCGCTGCAGGTGGGCACCATGTCCGACAGCTCCGTGATGTAGGCCGTCATCTTGTTCCGCCTCCGACGCTCAATTTCGCAGTGATTCTCCCTACAGTAAGTTGCAAGAAAAGTCACAGGTCATTATATTTTTTTAACAAGCGGTATAACTTATTCTCTAGTAGGTACCATTTCGGAGCGCCACAACCACTAGATGTTCAATTTTTCAGGACTTCCATGTCCTGCAGTTTATAGGTCCAAAAGCGGCGGCGCTTCGGTTCGTCAAGTGAGATTACCGGTATTTCCGTTGAACGTTTTACGACTTCGCCGCCGAGTAAATTATCCGGACACCATAAAACTAAGTTGCCGGAATCGATATCACTGATGTGATGCCACAAACGGGCCCTCGCAAGAACACTCCTCCACGACAACGCGATCATCCTTGATTTCTACGACACACGATTTGGACTACTTTACAGAACAGACGGAACAACGGAATTTCTAGATTTCGTACAATAACGACGTTGTGATTTTTACAGCAACATTTAATACCCGTCACTATATCCAAATCTATCGCGGTTAATTCATTTTTAACTAAACAAACGTTACTTCTCACAGTTTTTAAATCTCTAGACGACATGACATTCCATTTGAAACAATTAGACGCTCATGAAAGTCAGCAAATCATTTCTGAAAAAAAAATTCAATAAGGTGTTACATGTATACAGTTAGACGTTGTTGCGCGAATATTCCAGTGATTTTTACATCACGTTACATAATAAGATGTAACTTTAGGGTCCATTCCACTTGATAGATACACAGCTACATTTATACCCCGTTTACCGAACACATGGAGTTGGAAAAGCACGTGATTTTTAAAACGCTTCCTTGTCTCTTCGTGTTGTCGTGCTCCAAATTCCTCTCATTTTCATGTGTTTTTTTAATAAACAGGTAAAAATATTTTCAAACATCCCGCCGAATTTTTTTTATACGTTCAATTTGGTGTAAGTTTGAACACCCACTTTTTCGTCACTGTTTTTGAATCTATAGGCGACACCATATGTCATCAAGAATTATATGCTTCACGAAAGTCGGTGTCATTTCTGGAAAAAAAATCAATTGAGGTGGTACTTGTATCCAAAATCGGCAGCTCCAGTAGTGTCCTGTATACATTTTGAGGAAAAAAATAAAGCACCGAGTTGAGAACCCGAAAATGTAGGAGCGCGAAAATTTGCAAAGCCCAGGATCCAACTTAATTTTTTTCTCGAAAGATCGGGCGGTGGGCCGCTGAGGTTTTAGGTCCTTGGCGAAACATATTTTCTTTTTGGGTTTGGTTATTTTACTTTCAGAGCGTGGTTTGCGGCGTTGGTTGCAAGAAGTGTAGATTTGTCTATCTTGTGGGCTGTCCCTGATGATAAGTGAGCGTGGAACGCTAATGCCTTTGTTTGTAATTACGCAAATAATCCATGTATGAAAATAACTAGCTGGCAATTATTTTGTGTTGGTATCTTAACGGTGTTTTAACGCCCTACCTAGCAGTGGTGATTAATAGTAACGAAGTTGGTTGAAGAACGAAGAGTACCTGTGCCCGGCAAGGTCTGTTCAAAAAGTAACAGTATTGCGGTAAATAATCAATAATTGAGGAGAGACTAAATAACAATGATTACCCCTGCAGACGTGGAGTCGCGGACGATCGGCGGTAGAACCACAGAGCCGCAGACCGGCTAATGGTCGTAATGGAGATTATAAAGGCACACATAATCGCAGACTCCGGCCATCCACTCGGTCCCATTATGTTCCATCGCCACCGACTTAAATGAAATTCGGGATTCGGTGCCGTCATGCGAAAAGTGGCTATGTTTGCCAAGATTCATGCGGCAATAGGACTGACAGAGCAAATAACATAATAACGCGCCTGGTTTGACGCGAGCTTTTCTGATGGACGCAATTAGCATTTATGCTAAATATTCTGCAAAGTTCTCACGATTACTTAACCATCAGGGACTAGTAGGCAGTGTTAATGCAAAACCGCTTTGAAAATATTGCATGCTGATGATTGGCACTTTCTAAAAACGTTCAACTTCAATTTTCTGAGCCAATTACAACCAAACTCCGAGAGATTATAGACGAGTGTCTTAAGTAACGAGCTCATTTTTCTACCAAATTCGCTCAATTTGTATCGTCGTCTTTTTTCCTTCCGTGCTGATAGGGCTGGAATTCAGAAGTTTGGCCATGACATATTCTACTTTCAACTCACTCTTTCACACAACCGTAAATACGAACTTAGTGCACTATCATCATTGCGATATTGCCTGACCACATAAAAATAAACACAGCTATTTCGAAAAACACAATAGATTTGCAATTCTATTACAAGATTTATTTCAGGCGGACTGCCTGCACCCATCTCATACAATTAAACGATTAATACCTACAATTAATCACAGACTATGTAATACCCATTTCCATTACATTACTAACTGATAATACCTTCCCGACAAGTTTTTTATACGCAACACAAAACCAATTAGTCTGATATCGATACACTTTTTCCGGTTTTCAACATGATCATTTCTTACACGAATAGATGTCAATACTCGCTCGGGGGCACATTTCGGCATTTCCTCTCCAAACAATACCTGTGGCAGTGGCGGCTCGTCAGGGGAGGCAGGGGAGGCAGTGCCTCCCCTGGAAAAATTGACCATTAGTTTTTGTTTTAATATCTGTTAACTTCAAATATATTTTACAGATATAGCAAATAACTTTTATGGAACACTGTGATTTATTAAAACGCGTCTTGGTAACATACTTTGAAGTACGCGCTTTCGACAGGAATAAGCACTGATCATCGTCGTGTAGGCCAGCTTCAGACGGAGGCATGCCTCAGATAGGCGGATATCTTCAGTATGATTAGTCAGTGGTGCTAATATGTTTTTGAGAAAGACAATAGTCATCAGTGCTTTATCAAAGCGCCAGCGGAGGCACCAACGCCTACCGTCCTTAAGCCAATCAGATCGAATTTTTTAATCTCACGGTGAAACTGCACAATGCTGAACAGGGATGCTGAATGCATTTAGTTAGTTGTGCATTAATTTGACGCGAGGAAAGGTATTGACTGCATGTGCATTGCCAAGGTTATGTATTAAAACTTTTAAGTTAACTTGAAATTGAAAACAGTAGGACAATGAAAATGTGAGTTTTACAATGCTGATAGCAACATAAGAATCTATAATCTCCAAAGTTTCTTATAAAGTTTAAATATTTAAGCACGCTTTTCTTACGACGAACAATTGGATGTCAAAGATTTAGAACCTCTCATCCAGATTTGAGCTGAAATTTATTAATTAATTGATTAATATATTTAAATCAGCCCTAGATCATATGAATTAATATTTAATGTTAATAAAGCAAATTCTGTAGTCTTTACACCTTCTCGTTGGTTTGTGTCAAGCAATTAAATGTTTTTTATTCGGGAAGTGTACCCATATAGAGATATGTTACTGACTCAGAGTTATTTGCATTGTTTTCATAAAAACGAATAAACAATCTGTTTTTTAACAAAAGTAATTGCCAACATGTTAATTAATACCTGCTGATTTTGAAACGGAAATGTTGCCTCACCTAACAAAAAGACCACGAGCCGCTACTGACCTGTGGTACCATATCGCATCATCTCCGATCGATCAACTTTTTCTCCCCCTTTTAGACAATACCCTAGACTTATACCAATCTATGAATCAACCTCTCCAAGTACAGTTTAAGCGCTCCAAAAAAGTGAAACTAATCCCGTCACTTTTTAGCCATGCCGGATAATACGGTATGGCCGCGTCAAAAAATGCCCCGTTTCGTGCATGTCGGATCGCGGAGTATTGCTACGCAACAAACTATATCAATGATGATGATGACTTTCAGTTCCACCTTTACTCCGGGCACCGAGCGAAAGCTCCGACGTACTAATCAATTTCGGCACATACTGCTCACAATACAAGTCAAATCCCTTCACAAAAAAAACTCAGTTCTAACTTTGGCAGCACGCGTTTTCTACTACGCCCGTGAATATTCACCCCACCGGACCACCCTTGTCCTAGACTTCCGACAACCTCCTGAGGTCCATTGTGATTCAATTACACCTCTGCCGTCCAAAAAAGGTCGCCATCAATCAATTCTAAGCTCCTTAAAACGTCGACGGTACAGAAAACCCGTCATTTACTTCCATTTCTATCCACAATTTCTCTATATGGAAGAAGACCCGAAAACTCTCCCAGAATTTCGTCACCATTTCTGGCGTCGTCGGCATATCGCGAACAAGATCGTACTTGCTCCAAGAAAAAAATTGCTATTGCGGCGAATGCTGAAAGTTCGGCAACGTGGCCGTAATTGAATAGAAGCGGGTATTGGGACACTAGGAAATGTAAGAGAGCGATCGCATCTGCGGCGAGAGCGGAGCGCTGGTGTTCCACTGGGTGAGCGGGCGGGGGCGGAGGCTCGGCAGCGTGGGAACCTCTGGTCGACGGTCTGTGTTCTGTGGTCGATGGTCGCCTCCCCCGCGGCGGGTCACGACTGCTCGGGAACACGATGCTCCCTTTTAATGCACGGCCCTGGCCGACCTCCGATGGATGCACGCCGTTCAGCGCTCTCCAAATGCCAACGCTCGGTGAACGTCACCGTGGCACACCGAGTTACTCTCTTGGCCGAGCGTCGAAGTCTCTTGCGCCTGCTAAGGGAAGGACGCGGAGCCCCGGATCCCGGCAGCGGCGGACCCGCGGTGCCCGGAGGAAGTGCATGCTGTTAAAGACCCAGTCACGTATGAGGAAATGCGGAGACAAGACAAAGTAGAGGCAGTTGAGGTTTTACGACAATGGGTAGTTGGAAACACCTGAGGTTCTTGAGCGCCGGATTTAAAAATAACATAATCGTATTGTGTGATCTCAATTTGCGGTATGGTTTGACGTAGCAAGTGGGAAACGTTCTCATTGCTAAGCACAGTGTAGATGGAAGGTAAAGATGTGCTCGGGAATGTACGCAACATGATTTACTGGTCTATGTTTAGATTCATTATTGTTACGTAAGTTTCGCGTCAACAAGAGTTCTACGTAGAGATACGCAGCGAAGAGAGCTGCGTTCAGTCGACATTATTTGTTCTATCTACTTTCAAACCAAAACATATTTTTTCTGAGCACGTTTAAGTTTTTGTTTTTCGAATGAGGCCCCTAAAATATGTTCGTTGTGCCTAAATCGTCTAAGACTGCGAAAATAATGCTCAGAAAGTCAATTCTAGTAGTTGTTTGGACACTAACATCCGAGGAGACGGCAATTTTCAGATTTTTCAATCAAATAACTCATTGTAACCAACTAGGAACAGTTCTTTTCTTGTTTTCACAAGTTATAGAAGACTTGAACACCAAACAGTAAGCCGAATTTGTTTATTATAACGTGTGATCCTTTAAATTTCTAATCAAGGTAGGCTGGTAGTTCAGAAACGTATGTGCATATACCACACATCTGTCAATGTTAAGTAAACACAGACAGTAATACCTAACCTAAAAAAATAAGAACGCGTTGAAAATTGGTGTTATCAAGACTTTTTATTCCATCGCCAGTGGAGGCTTTATTTGGCGCCCTCCACGTAGTATTTCGGTACCGATGTAAAATTTTGGAGACGGGACGTTTGATTTACGTTTTGAAATAAGCAACAAAACGTTGTTTAGTTGCTGATTTCGTCATTCGACTTTGGCCTTTTACAAAGTTTTAGTGTCCGTGGAAACAACGATGTGTGCGTAAAGTGATGCAATCTCAGCAATTCCAGTTGGTAATTCTTCAAAGCGGCTATTAATCGTTCTTAGTGCATAACGAGTGGGATTTTTCATCGATTAGTAATATTTATTTTATCGAGTCCATCTGAAATATTTCGTTTCGAAGTGAAGGTAATTTGGGCAGGGCTCGAGGCGCGCATTCGTTCTTGGTGGTCATCGTATTTCTTCCGATCGATTCAATAGAAATGAAGATATTGAGGAGGTAATTTTTTGACGATCCCACATGCCCCCGAGCAGTTAGGTATAATAAATGTGTTATTTTTTGGTTGAACGATCATTGTTTCGGGCGAGCACCGTTCGATCGAATTCCTAGCGCTAGAAGACGAAAGAATCTTCACGAAGTTGATAGTTACCTAGCAAAGCGCTCCTTATCTTGGATGCTGTCGTCCTCCATCCTCGTGTACTTGCTGCCACTCGGGTCGTCTTCATCTGACCTGGAACGGATAAGGAGGTGCAGTTTAAACGTTCGCTTAATGGTAAATTTTTGATTAGGGTGGGCATCGACGAGCGCCGGAACGGTCGTGCGTCGTGACTGGAGAGACTCGTGTGAGCTCCCGTTGGCCAGAGGCAATCGTTTAATGCCCACCTAACGCAACCTCGCCCGATCTTTTGTCTGCTAATTAATTATCAACAAGCAGAACATGAGTTTGCATTTACGTCCACCAAAATTGATACGTACACCTTCCGACAGGGGAAATCGCAGAGCGCGTGGCGGCTGCGGGGTCTTCCGGCTGTGCGAACGCGCTTTCGTTTGTCAGCGGCTCCAGATAACAAACAATTAATGAGTCCGTCATAATTAGCGGCATCTACAATTTTCGACAGGGTAATTAATAATTACGATCCACTAACAAACTACCGCGGATCATTAATCATCTGGCGTTTACTTTTTCGAAGAGTCGCTAGTCGGAATTAATGGGGACTAGGGGTAATGAACATATTCGGTGGTGCGTGGTGAGAGTCGGCTGAAATAGGGCTTCGTTCGTTAAGTATTGGCGCCAATTCGTACTTTCTACTGAACTATGTAGGTTAGAAAATCCACGGTCTTTGTTGAAGCGTTATCGATGACCATTGCTTAGCGTAACAATTAAACATCCAACAATACCGCACGACATGAAATTCATAGTTCGACGTGTGGCGAACGCATTAAGACCCTCGCTTTTTATTAATAACGTGAAAAGATACAATAAGTAAATGTCATTTGCTACGTATCAACGATTCGCGTGTCTTTAAATATCAAACGCCATTATTGTTGAAGGTATCTCATATTCATAGTTTTATTTCAACCATTGCTTTTTATGTTGCAATAAACGGAATGACCTTAACGAACACTAAACTAACATAAAAAAACTTTCTATCGGACTTTTTACAGGCAATTTGCTCGCTATATTTCCATAACTTGCAAAACTCGGTTTACGTCATAATTTTGAGCGGAATCGCTCGATACCGGGTAATTACCTAAACAGATCGTTTTCGTACGATCAATTTTTCGAGCGCCGTTTCACCGACGAGAAGAAAAACAAAAAGAAAAGTCGTAATCGTCGGTGTTGTGGTCGCTCGAAGACCACCCTTTGTTCGGCCGTAATTCGCAACTCGAAGATCCATCCAGCGCGCAAAGAGAGAACCAATTTTATAAAGCCCTGCAGCGAACTCCGGATATTTACAAGTCGAGAAAACAGAAAATGTCAGTTACATCATCGCAATATTTTAATTATATACTTCTAATATGTTTATAAATATTATAATTACGAATTACAACACTCCGGCATTGTTCGATCGAAAACAACGAGATTGATAAACAGATTAAGCTCTTCGCAAAAAATGTTTGTGTTTATGGCTGTCCTATTTAAATCCGAATGACGCTATTTGATTGAAACCGTACGTGGGGGTAGTTTTATTTGCGAACTAGCGGCGGTGTAATTGTTCACAATTTGTTGAAATAGGTATATAAAACGAATGATGGTTGGCAATTGGTCCATATTGTCTCGATTATCGCGGTAAGTTCGCACGTCCCGATCGGCGATATCGTTCCGAACCGTTGCTATAAATGATAAAGCGAGTAACGCGAAGGGGTTGGAGAGTTCGGAATGATGGCGGTATTTACAGGGCCGGGAGGGCGGCACACTATCGTCCGATTTACGGTTTACTAATGAGACCTTTATCGGGCCATCGTAGCACGTAACGCAGATTTAGAACTGCAACACTGTAACTCCACGGTAAATACCAGATACCATACGCCCTTTCTGTTGCAAAATTTTAGGTAAATAATGCACTGTTTGCGGCGGTTCTTCTCCGATCGACCCCTCCGCAACTTAGTCTTCATTAGCCCTCGTATTCCCTATTCTCGCTGCGAATCCTTCGAACATACCGCCATTTTTACTCATTAAAAGGTTTTCAACCGATAAAGCTCAGACGTGGACTGATAAACCCGCCGCCGCCGCCGAACTCCACGATACCGCCTCCGAACATTATTCAGACACTTCTTTTCGCCTTTTTTAATTGTCGCATTCAATTTATACGCGACGCATCCAGATAAACGCCTAACTGTACAGACCTTAATGGCTCCTCAAATCTCCGCCATATTTCAAACAACATCCGTTATGACTAACCGTAACACACAAAAATTACACAGAAAAACTTACGCAATTATCATTTACTTGATTAGCCTTACTTACAACGACGCTGCCTCTAAAGCACCACGTTATTATCATACATCGCTATACTTTCAATTTCCTGCTTTTTGCCAACTGCTCATTACGACTCTTATTCTACCTTTTAGGACGGATCTGATAACAGTTCATTGCACATCTCTTCATTCGAACGAACTTTTACAATCTACTGTACACTTTACCCACAAAAAATACCAAACTAACAATTCGATTGAGCTCAACATTCCAAACAACGATGTCTACGAAGACAAATCTCAATAATTTCTAAATTTCTATAACTTAAAAAAAAAAAAACAACAACGCTGCTGTTGGAAAAATTTAGGAACGTATTTCTCATTGTATCCAGAATAATAATAATTAATGTAATTGCAGATTTCTACTTTATTTGGATGCTTTTTCGACAAAATCAAATTTCATTTTCTTTTAACACAAAACCAGGATCTGTACGTGCTTAATTATAGAGTTATTTCGATGTATATGCATAAACAGCCGAAACTATGAATGTACTGATATTTTTTTCTATTGGTCATCTGCCCGATATATATTTAATAATGTTGGCACCTTTTAACGCATTTTTAGAATTCAAGATCTCGATTATTTCTCAAAATTTCATTATGCGGTTTTCACCATTGTCTACAGCTTATAAAGCTCAATGTTTCCCGGGTAACGTATGGAGTTACGAAATTTCCATAAATAATAGACATTTTGATTTCTAAAGATAGGTGATGAAAAATTTCCCCAAAATGTGAAAAGGATGACGACAAACCGTTAAAAAACTGCTCTTGTGTTATATAGCGAAAGGTGTGGACTGGTTATATTTAAAATTTCATAACAATAGGTCTGTTAATAACGGAGATATTACGCTCTGAAAATATATTGAAAATCCCATGAGCCAAAGGTAGGGACTTCTCTTAATGGCATGACGTAGCCACATTAAAGAATGGGAGTGGTCTAAAATAAGGTACATTAGTTCGTAAATCTCAAATTCGTGACTTTCTTTCGGTATGTACTAAGATTTCAGTTCGATTGAAGTTAAAAGCAAATCAAAATTTAAAGTGTCTGTATAGTTTTCATATTAAAAAAATCGTGTGACGTAAAAATCAATCGTTTTCATGATATAAAAATATTTTTACGCGATTTTTACAACAAATCAGCTACTGGCGGCATCTCCCGATGGATTCCTGAATTGACAAAAAACATTTATTATTTTGTCACGATTTCGCATTTCACGGTTTTGCAGTAAAAATAAACCTTAAAAATTACAAAGAAAAGCTCGGAAACGCCACATAAAACCCAAAAACTATTAAATTTGAACCTTATCTGGTCACTGATTATATTAAAACTAAAAAACATGATAATAATGACTATATTTTACTCGGAAAGTCTATGAACATAAAAACGAGCTGGTCCTTTTTTTTTCTAAAATCAAAATAGTTGCGGTTAATAAGAGCAATCAGCCGAACAGTTGCATCCTAATATCAATTTTCCACTACAAAAAATGCATCTGGTTTTTATATTAAGATTAGAAAGTGTTCAGTGTGAGATTTATTATTAAATATGATCGGTTTTGGCGAAAATGGGTGTGAGGTATTCTGCGACCAACGGATGCATTTCGCGTTCAAAAAGAGTTGTAACTTCTAAAAGCGGTTAATTAATTATTAATATTTTACGACCCCCCACAGTTGTTTTTTGTGGCGAAGACCATTGTCCTGGTAAACGAAACGAAGCCTTCGATAAGGCGCACGATTAAATAAAATGTTTTGAAACGGAGGTGGCAGAAAAGCTGATAAAGCATTCCGTTCGTGCTAGTTACACACATGTTTAATAAACAACACCTTTATTAGGTTAATTATACATAATGTATTTGGAAATGCAGTATGACAAAGTTAAAGTGCCGACGTCGCAGAAGCAATAAATGCGACAGATTGGATGAGCTTTTTATGCTCAGTGACTAAAGCAGTAATTACGTTCTTTCACTGCAAGGTACGGTTCTGCAAGTAAAGCTTAGGAACATAAAACTAATCCACAGATTTACGTCATTTAAGAATTTTTATTGGTGAGTTTAGAAAAGCTCGTAAATTTTGCGCGGTGTTTGTGTTGAACTGAAGCGAAAAACGGGGTACCAGGGAGGAGACGACTTCCCGTAAAAGTGGTATTTTATTGGGGCAAGCGACCATTTGCAACACTAACAAGCCCCCGGAGAAGACTAAACAAATGCGAGCCAAAGAACAATAATCTGCTCGAGTTGGCTATAATGGTGGCTTTACAGCAAACATTTTTTAAGTGAAATCGGAGCTGGCTAAGCGAGCATTCTTGTTCGTGAAGAAAGAAGAGCGGGACGCGGACGAAAATTATAATTGCAAAGAGGGAGTTCGGAAAAACTTGTGAAACCCCCTCAACTATCCATTACCTGCTTGACACAACAATGGTATCGGAATTTCGTATTTTGCGTACCTGGGAAAGTCGGGCGGAACAAGTTTCAGGTACGGAGCAATATGTCCCATAAAGTTTGTCAAGAAGACCCATCGCATTGTTTGTTTGTCGTTGGGACGACTTGAACTTCAATGTCACGGCTCTAGGGTCCAAACTTACGTTAACAGAACATGTAGACGATTTTACTACTCCAGGAAATGAGATAGAGACAACATGTAAATAAAGTAATAAAAGACCAAACGCATCACGCATAAATATTTTTATCGCTTTAAAAAAATCTTGCTCAGGTAAAACGGACGCCTCTGAAATTTTGATTTAACCCTTCATTAAAGCAGCCACCGAATGGGTTATTGCAGCCGGCCATAGAATCATATCGACTACAAATTAAGAAAGTTCAAACGGCCGATCGCCTTCTATATATCTAAAGTATTTCCAAATGTCTATCTAATCCCTTATCATTCCTGACCCGATTCCAAAGTTTAATATAGAATTTATGAACGGTCAGCAGATAAACTGTTGAGGGATATATTGGCCATAAAAAATGTTTTGGCTGGTGGAAATGACGAATCCACACGCTGTAACTCTAGCCCACCCTAATACGTCCTGAAATTTAATCGTTCTGGGCACGTGCAACTTTTAAAACAAAGAGTCGTTCAGATTAAACCGACTTATTCAAATATTTGTTCAAAACAACTTCACTCGAACAATAAAAAAGTGCTAAAGTAATTTTACTTGATTGACAACGGCAAATTAAGTGACGAGATAATAACTACGTTCGTTTGCAAAACACTAAATCTATTTTCCACCCGTCAAATGTCTTTTTAATGAATATTCTTGACGCAAATGTCGATAAGGAGGATGCATTTATACTCCATCCGAGTGTGATTCGAGTTTTATTTTGTCTGAAAGAATAGCAGCTGCTATCACCAACCCAACCGACCCTCCAGGAATTCGTACAGGATGATAACACTCCATCAATTCTTGTGGGGGTTCTATTTTAAAATCGGAACCTCTTCAAACAGACCTTCCGATCCCCTTTGTCGTCCCTAATTTAGCGATCGCAATTTACGGTTCCCCTCTTCCTGCATCACACGGACTTGTTTATAGGTAACCGTCCACGTGACTCTATCTCGAAGACAAATTGACCATCGTCCGAGGAGTTCGTTCGAACGATGACAACAAAATCAACCCGATTAAACCCCGAAAGCGCGCAAACCCCTGACACGTGTCCCCGAGTTACCTTCTGCGCTTGGAGTAGTGGGCCACCGGCGGCGGCTCCTGCCCCATGGGCACCGGGGCCACCTGGGGGTGGTGGGCCGGGGGATGCGGCTGGAGGTAGGTGGGGGGCGGCGCATAGTGCGGGGGGCCGCCCCCGGCGTACGCGTACATATCCACTGTGGCGGCACTGGGCCCCTCGGGGCGAAGGTCTGGCTGTCTTCAGCGGCGGCACGATGGGCACATGTCGCGCAGACACCAGGAGGAACACACAACGACGCACTCTGAATTCCGCCGCGGACTGGCGATGGCGGCCAACATTGCTACGACGGTCGGAGAGTGGAGATGAGCATGGTGGGGCACAGGCCGAGATTTTAACTACATGCAGGTACGCCGCCCGCTGCAAGGCAAGGGCCCGCAACCGCCGCGAATCATCGGGCGCTCAGTGCTCAACAGCCCTCGGAAGTTTTGCGGTCGCCGTCGCGAAAACACGCGATGCACCGTCGCCGCCGACCGCAACTCGCAGGGACGTGCGGATCAGGACTACCCCCAAGTTCGTGCGCGATAATGTGTGACCGACGAGGGAAATGTACGCAGATGATGTGAGTACTCTACCGGAAAACTATTACAGCTTTTGGACCTTTGCGACAACCCTTTTACCAAAATTTATACTTCGACCAAAGTTTTTCGAAAAAACAAACAAAATTCAAAACTTATTTCTACGCTCCGAACACATAATTTGCATATTGCAATTGATGGAATACGAAGTTCCGTAATGTCAAAAGGGTTAAATGTCAAAATAATTCAACTAATAACTTGTAATAATATGAAATTACGAAGCTTTCCTCTTATTTTATCATTCTACGATTAAGTGCTTTTAGAAATCGTCGGGCCACGTTTAATTAGCCGTTTTCGGTTTTTGTCACTTTTAAATTTCAATATATGTGAAATTACAGTGATGACCTTCTGGAACAAGAGCTTTTGAAATATATATTAATTCATATGATTTCGTTTTCTAGTACCCACTTGAGTAAATATCACACGCACGGATTCATCATCAATCAAATACATTACTTTCATACGTCAGAAAATTATTATATACGAGATTACTACTAGTTGCAAGGAATATGAATAATAATAAAACAAACATTTCCGAAGATATATAAAAACTACAACGAGTTTTATTTCTTCAGTGCTGTTATTATGATGCATTTTTGACAAAATTTGACTTTACAATGTGTTTTACTTTTCTATCACGTGACTTATATTCTTATGCTAAATACATAATACACTGTATGAAAAATACATTTTCAATCTCAAAAACAAAATTTTCCGAATTTTTGACAGGCTTGGCCAAAATTCCGAAAATGTACAAAAAAAAAAAAAACAAAAACAAAAAAAAGTAAAGTATTGTTGTAAAATTAATGGTTGTAACTGTAGAACAAACTTGAACTACTATACTAATTTATATAATAAAAATTGTTTACTCATTCCCCGTCCTTTTTTAAATGGTTCGATTTAAAATCAAATTAAACAAAACGCCGGACACACGTTACTATCTACCTGCAAATTACTGCCCGAAAATTTCAAAAAAGTTCTGGATTATTCAAACTCATGGCAAATCCACGATTCACGAATTTACGCACCGCAATTTTTTCCATTATATATAAACGTCTTTCTCAACCCTTCCGGTAAGAATACGCAGTAAAAAACTGTCCACGTAAATTATTCCTAACCACAAAAAAGGTACAAAATAATATTTAATTACCAAATAGGTCTACGCCGTACGGCAAGCCAATGGAAAACCGCAAATATTCAAGGAAGTTGATAATAAATACAGAATTTCATAATTTTAATCTAATTTGTACAACCACAAGGAAATCTGTAGGTGCAGTCGTACAAAATTGTGCTTTACTTTATCCCCTTTACAAACCATAAAAAATATCTGCAATTAGTTAAAATCGTAAAAAAAATACACTAACGGTTATTTCCACACTGATAGTGTGTTATCACTGTCGTAATATTATAATTATTCCGAGAAAAGCATGTGTGGCTGCTTTTTGTAAGAATAATATACACAATAATAGAAATTTGTTTAAAACAATATACTCAACCACACTGCCAAAATAAAAAAATCCAACAGCCGATAAATCAAAATTCAACGATGCGGAAAAAACACTATGTACACTTGACCTTACAATTCAAAATAGTAATTCATTTGCATATGATTTCTAATAAAGGCTTACGTCACTCTGACTTCTTTTATAATCTGGTTATTCTTAGCTTAATCTACGTTATGCACAACTATAAGACAACGAAAATTTTCAAGCGTTTTACATGCCACTGGTCACGTCGTTTCCTCTTATTTCCAAAATCTAAATTTAAAATTCGTAGTACGTAAAAACAACTGCGCCGATTATCAAAAACGAGAACTATTAATCGACATTGACGTGACGTTTTCGAAAAATCGCTAATATTTTTCCACGGCTTGTTACACTGGAATGCTAGAAATGTCACAAATTAGCTATGAACGAATATTGTTGATTAGAAACTGCAAGGTCACATTTCTTTGGGATTCCGCCGTGGAAAACCCGGCGCAGTGGAGAAATGATGCACAAAATTTATCGATGGCGCGAATATCTTGGAAGACCGAACCACAAGATTATCTGTTTGGGAAAAGTAAAGTTTGTTAACGTAGTTGCGGTGACGCGCTATCAACAAAAAATTTGCTCAACTGTGCAACACTGATTCCACTACGAGCGGATTATTTTAAGCATTTTAGCATCCTTAATCGAGTAAACAAACTTGGATTAATACGAAAGTATTTTTTAACTTGTCCGAGGAGTTATTTTCGGGCATAACAATTCCGTGAGTTTTATGTTGTACTTTAGCACCGTTTCCGGTGGTCGGTTTAGCCCCAGTAGCGTCGAGAAAGTGGAGTACCCGTTTCAGGAACAAATTGTGTACGCATTATACCTGTCCGTAGTCGGTTTGATGTATGAATGGCCCCATAACAAACAGCACCACCACATGAGCCTTTTCAACGAGTTGTAAAATATTAGGTGGGTTAGGCAGGTAGAGGAAGGCAGTAGTTTACGGGTTTTAGTACCGTTATAATTTATCACCTGTCGTTTTTGGTTGCAAGGTTGTAACGAATGATGAATCCTTTAAGACTACACAACGTTTTGTGTCGAAATTCCGCCACCTTCCCCGAATAAGACCTATAAAATGTAAATTATTCTTCGACTTCATTCAAGGTTTAGTACACCTAATCCGGCAAATAAAAGAGGGACGGTCGCACCTTTGCCTTGTCACAAAACCAAGTCCCTTTGTACCGTCGTTAATAATTCCTGTCCGTCTACACAGTCTAATCTTCTTATCTTTTAAAGGCGATTGTGTTAAAAAAGAAACACTTAGATACAATCTTGCTAAATTATTGTCGCGGTGAAACAAAACGAACTTTGATATTCGGGTGAATGTGTCGGATTTCGAAGTATACAGGCGCAGGGATCACATAAAGCTTTATAAATGATGTGCCTGCGGAGACGTCAGGGATAAGAGCAACCTCCGAAATTTTAATGTGTAATTTTTGTAAACGAATATCGCATTCGAACGAAGTTGTGAATAAAAAATAGGGTTCGTTTACACAACATCGTTATTAGTATTTTTTTGTATTGTTAAAGCGAGTTTGAGAGTAAAAACGAGTTCGTAGTGGGCGCCCTTCGATTTCCGATTTCTTAAAAAACCAAACATGCATATCTATTTTTTACAGCGCGGCGACTGTTAAACAAAATTCCCGCATAAAGCGTAGATAAGCCCAATGTATCTTATTACCCCACCCGCCCCTACATTACACATGCCGATACGATCGCTTTCCCTATATTTTACAACCCGCTATGACACGTACGTACAAATTACAATCTAATAAGAAAATAATGAAGCTGGTAAGACACGATAAACACGAGATCGTACCATTTTTAATATAAGTGAGAACGTTACCCGCTATTTATTAACTGATAAGGCCTAATAACAGACTTATCATAATTGAATCTCGAAAACACTCTACTTTTAGTTCTTTCGTCGTGGATGGTAACATATACATACAACCCTCCCCATTATCCGTATCATCAGCCCCGACTCCGAAACGTTAATTAACTAAATAAGTCATCAACGACATCTGTCGGTGCATCAACATACTTAAAACAGAACTCTACATAAAACATGCAAGATGGAATCATAAATATTTATTACTTAATGGTACATTACAATTTTAGATGGTTATTGTCGTCACTTACCCTATGCTCCCTGCTCTACGCTTTTGGATACACTTCGTGGGATCAGCACCTTGAAAACAGAAAAGTCCGTGAAAGCCTGCATCAAACAGAAAGTGGACACGAAGAGGGCTGTGGAAGCACTTTTGGGAACTCAAGCAGAAACATACATGACGCACTTTCCACGATTTTATAACAAGCAATGAACTCTTTGTTACGAATACGACCAAAATAAGTATTTTTACAGCCAGCAATCGTGTTCGTTTTGTGTAAAAAAGCCAAAACTATCGTTACTAACCTGGTACCGAATGTGTAACAGCTGACATCTGTATCATAAACCATGCGTTTTATTATACTACTTGATTGTTAAAAACACGAAACGCTAACTTATACTTTTGGTAAAAACAAATTTTGGAGACATTGGTTAAATTAAAATAGACTGTTTACAACACAACGACCGCCATGTTAGAAAAACTGTTAGGGTGGGAGAGCCTGCCATTTTATTAAGGGTTGTTCACAACTGACGTAACGCTAATGCAGGGGTGCACCACGAGACTCAATCTATATTAAATAAATAATTTACTCAGGGATTCGCAGTAAGCGCGTCATTTATGTTAGCGGAATTAACAGACTAATTAAAGGGGGCGTTCCTCGGTGCCTTTTCTCTCTTTTTCTTTCCAATTTTCTTTTCTGCTTGAATTCTGTACCAGGTTGGTGGCGCCATCTCACGAGTGTCACGTTAACCCCACTTATAGAAAACTGTTTTCAGGCTTCCGCTGCAAAATCCACCATACCAACCAGCGGAAACTACGTGGCTTGAAACAGTTTGAATTTCCACTTTTTCCACAAGGACCGACTTCTGGGTAATTGTAAGATTTGATTGTATGTTTGAACAATGTGTATTTTTTGAGGAAATAAATTTTTACTTACCGTATTTGAGCGAAGTTCTTTTAGTGTGTTAGTAGCGAACTTAAGGGTTGTAGATCAGAATTAAAAAGATTTTAATGTATTTAGCATTTACTTAATTTTTACAATATGCAATCATACATAAGATGAAATATACCTACAGCCAGAAAAATATCACCACATATTTTAAACTACATTTGAGTTCTAGAGCAAGACTGCCTTTTCTAATAACGCAAGTTTGCATTGTTTTACAGTCCATACTTGTTCATTAACAGAGTTCAATGTAACATCTAAAATGGGATGTATAAAACATTTTCTAAATATACATAGAAAATTAAAACTTGTATAAAAACACCATTTTCGGTACTTCCTTTGTACATTTATTTATTTCATTATCAGACATGTATAAAGCATTCGCACAGTAATACCAAACATGAAATAAGAGAACTGAGTGCGCAGGAAAATTAAAGGGGATGACCACCATACCAGGCAACTCGAGAGCTACAGCACTACCGTACTCTGTTATTCAAATTAATAAATACATAAGTAACATGGATGTTTGACATTTCCAGAAAGACGTATGTTGCTTAATTTACAAAATGGTACAATTATGGGTTACACTATGTGAATTCATTAGCTATCGGAGATCCGGATCTCACGGCGACTGTCGCCATTAGTCCCATCACACGCACACATACACACTGTTCATTGGTAAAGTTCAAGTATTCACGCTATACATAGGTCTGTACACCAGTCCAAGGCCGCAAGAGTATCTACAGAGGGATTAGCTGCGAGATATTTGAAATAGTACTTTGGAAAGCAGGAGGGCTACCTGCTGATCTAATATTTGACTCATGACGAGCGCCAACAGTCGGGATTCTTGTTGCACCAGCAGAGGTTTGTTATCCGGATGCCTCGCCAGAAACACTAACGTTGCCGCCGCCCTTCTCAGCATGTCCAAACTCGTCCCCATCGAATCCGGATTGTCTCGCAACGCGCCGATCCCGTGCTGGTTGGCCACCCCCAGTGCGCTTTGTTCGGCTTGCTCTATGAAGGCCACCAGCAGCGATACGCACGGAGTTTGCGACGCCACCGTCCGCGCCATGCTGCTGTCGGCCGCCGCCAGGTAGTGGAGCAGGTTGATGGAAAATTCGCGCAACACTTGATCTTCCGAGCGGCAGAGATGTTTCGTCAGCACCGCGCACAGCCGCTCCAGACGGGAGAACGGCGGCGTGGCTATCACCAGATCGACGTTATTGTTTGTTACACAGAGCTTGCACAAGGACTCCAACGCCAGCCGCTGAGGAGACAGCAGGGACGAAGGACCGACCGAGGCGAACGGGTCTTGACCGCTCGCCGACGGACAGATCGCCCAATGCAGCAGCCCGTCCAGTATAGGCCTCACTATTTCTTCTGGATACATGTTGAAGTCGATCTGACCCGAAATGTTGGCTATTGACACCAGTATGTTCTCTCGAATGTGAATCAGAAAATCCCACCACCATTCTGTTTCGCCTTGCAAACTGCTACATGAATCTGCGAAGTCCGCATCCTCCTGAAACACGCAAAAGTAACGTCAACTACGTTTAGGAACGCGCATGCGTTTGATTGATTCGAATCGTCCTCCAGTTGCGCATACCCGAACTGGAGTACGATAATTTCGTGGTGGTCGCGCGATTCGTCTTACCTCTCGGTCGTAATTTCGAGTTTTCTGGGTGCGAGGCGGATGCTCGTGATGGAGAAGCAACAACTTTCCTACTACCGCTAAGAAAGTCGAACTACGTGCGAACTCGCCCTCATTGCCGGGGACAAACGTAAGGCTCCTAAGAATATTAGATATGCAAACACATCTTTTGCCGATATTGTCCTGGCTTTCGGTGATCAGCACCAGACTCGCTTCATCTCTAGTGTATGCTTCGTCTTCGCAGTCCGACGAACGGCGACGTTTCAACGCGCCGACTGTGTCGCGCACTTGTGGTCCACTATCTTTCCCGCACTCCCCGTTCACACTACTCGCGTTCAGATCTACACTTTGTTCTTCACAGTTCGCTTTTTCACTCACTACCTCAGTCTTTACTTTATCAGTAGTCGTCTCTAAAGTGAGCACACCGTTCGCTTCCGACGAATCCTTTTTAATTCGAGATATCACATCACTTAATGTCTTTGTCCTACGTTTTTTGTCACTAGTTTTAGGAGGCGGTGGCGCTTCGTCGGGGGGCGGAGTTCGCTGCCTCTCCTCTATTGTATCCGCGACAGGTTTCTTGTCTTCTAACCGCCTATGAAACGGTATTCGGCCGAACTCCGCCTGAAACGTTGGAAGTATGTGATCGGCCCTCAATTGCCAAGGGTCGGTCGTCATATCCGCCAAAATACTAGCACCGGTAGCGTCACCCCTCACGTCCCAGTCTTTCTGATGATCCTGAATGAAGATTTCGTCGCTTCGATCTACCAACCTCACGGGATAACCTTTACGAGTTACGAATGTATAGTTGTTGGTATTCTGCAATAAAACTGATTTCAGGCTAGGATCTATCGGCGTCACCACGCCCCCTAGATCCACGTCAGTTTCGTCTGGTTTTTCCTCTCTCGGGAACGGGCCATCAAAAATATCGCTCAGTGCCCTCTGGAAGTGCTCGATCAAAATATCCAGAAGACCAGGCCACTGGTTCAACCCGAAATACCCAACGGACGAATCGTCGAACAATAAAACATTGAGTATATCTAAAGCGTAGGTGCTTTCAGATAACAGTCCCGAACGCAAACACATTATTATGCGCCAAGGATCCACTTGGCCGACGTCGGCCCTACACAATCTCTTTCGTCGGTACAAAACCGGCAACGTCGCTTCCACGCTATCCGGAGGAAAAGTTATTTCTCGTTTCGGTAACTGACTCTGCGAGTATGAGGTGTTCGACAAAGTCGCAGGTTGACTTCCCTTACCCCCTTGCGGAGGCATAATCGAGAAGGGCTTGCCGGGACGAGGACCCCCTAAAGGAGGCCTCAGCGGCGGGTTCTGACCCACACCGGGCGTCGGAATCGACGACCACTGCTGCTGACCTGACTGCGACGGCTGGTAGCCCTGATTGCCCGCAGGATAGCGATCCCACTGACCCGCCGGCCTACCGCCTCCTTGATTCCACTGCTGGCTGCCGACCTGCGGGCCCCCAGAAGCACCGTACTGGTTAGGTCGGTACTGGTTGTTGTTCGCCCACGCTGCAAACACAAAACGGTTTAAAAGTTTAAAACCTTCCTCGTTAAGTAAATCGGTAAGCGGCAAGCTATACGTTAGACGCAGTGGACTTAAGTCATGATTCAGCGCATGCGCAAACGAAGTGTGCGTGGGAAACTTTCAATACACGATAAAGTTCTAAGCGAAATTTTCAATCACGGCTGAAAAGAACTCTTAGCACTTCAATTTAGTTAGTAAAAACGTACATACGTAACATGGTTATCAAAATGAAAAGAAAAGTGATAAGTAGTTTAATGCACTTCTTCAGACAATAATCAAATAAAATACAAATAAATTACCGACTACTTTACGAGATAACATTTGGTGTTCTATCAATTGATAAACTTTAAGATTGAATCATTCATTTCCTTGTCGTACTTTCCGCGCAGAAAATATCAAAAAAGGCACAACAATACAGTCAACAATCGCACGAATGTCATCAATCTCGTATCACATAAGGTTTACTGGCATTATCGCGAATTTAACTATAAAAAGATAAGATAGACAACTAAGACGTATTTGTAGAAACCTTACTTAATTAAAACTCGCCTAATCTGAAATAGATGTTGAAAAAAATGCACAATGGACACTTACGTTTCTCGACTTTTTCTAACAAGATCTACTCGTCTTACCAAAAGAACATGTGACGTATACATTAAAACAAACGAACTACTATTTCGCTTATTTAAGACAACATACTGCGTCGAGAAGAAAAAGTCTTGTTGGAGTGAAGATGGAAAGCATTCATTCATTCTAAAGACACTTTGATGGCCGCCGCGTTTCACTTTACATTAGTTAGTTTGACGAAGCCATTCCTAATTTGGACTGCAGTACTATACATTAAGATGCCTTTACTTTATTGGATTGAACGGGTCGATGAGACATGTTTCGTGCTCAGCGCAGTATGTCAAGTCGTACGAAGCTTCCGAAATACGCACCATAAATCTGCGGTCTTTGCTGTCCATACTGATATGGCTGCTGATCTTTGGCGAAGTCTGGATGTCGCCTGGATTGCGGTGCAGGAGGAGGCATGTTCTTATTGGAAGCTGGCCCTCCTGGATAGTTCGCCGTAGCGGAAGGACCCTGCTGGTTGGAATAATCGTACGATTAGCGGATCGATCTTTTTGCGTGTGCGGAAAATATTGGCTTACTTGGTCCGGGCGGTAGTATTCCTGTTGCGTGTAGGGTCCTGCGGGAGGCTGCGACGTGGGCGGTCCCGTGTTACCCGGAGCACCGGTGTAGTTTGGCCTCGGCGTGTATGTGGATGTCGGTGCTGCGCCCATCGTATAACGATTGTATGGATCTTGTCCAGCCGCTGGTGGACCTGGAGTGTTGTTTGGATTGGGCGGCGGCGGTGCTCCTGAATCACCTGAATATGGAGGATACACTGGTCTAACGGCAGGCGGATAACCTGAACTAGCTGGGTACGAAGAATACTGATCTGGAGGAGCACCAGGAGCAGGACTTGGATACTGAGTGTATCCAGACTGTCCGGTATATCCCTGTGGTCTAGGTGGAGTGCCTGAAGGATAAGGAGGGTGCGGTCCACCTGGAAAGGGGCCACCCCGTGGTGGTGGACTGGGAGACACATCATCAAAAGGGTTTGAAACGCTTACGTTGTCGGCAGCCCCGCCTGCAGGGCTAGGACCCCCAGGGGCGGCATTGTTTAAATGATTAGCCCCTCCTGAACCTAAGAGAATATAAAATAACATGTACTACTCCGCTCCGTGCTCACTCAACACGTACAGGCTAAATCCACTAGAAGTTAACACTCGCAAATTCTCAACAACTAGCTCACCACCAAAAATTACAGCTTTTGGTGCTCAAAACCACTTCCTTGGCTACGTGCCGGTGCTGTTCTGGGGAATCGAGCATGAAAATGACATCAATGAAGTGTTCGCACGTGGAAGATGAAAACTTTCTATCGTCGCTTCGAAGTTTACGACGGTTAACACAAAAAAAAAAAAAAACAAAAAACAATAATAATAATAATTAATGTGGTACGGCACCAAAAATTATAATTCGATAATTCTTGATACTGAGATATTTACAATGTTAATTTGTAGTAGACTCATCCTGTAAAATACCAATCCACACCCACACACAATACAAGACCAAGATTCTATAACATACATATATCGCCGTAACTCTAATCGAAGCAAAAATCTGAATGAAATAGCACAACAAACTACAACAATAACTCTGCCATGAGACTTCCAATAAAACTCGACGGAATTCATTGTTTTGACTTAATCACCTACGTATTTAAATAATAGTTAATAATACATTTATGACAACGCTCGACTTTCAGATATGAATTAACAATCGATAAAGTGAAAGTAAATAAATAACAATGTATCAAAAAATAAATACCTTCAAATAGAGATAAATGATAATGCGACCATTGAAACATCACCGTCAATTAAAACAGCGCCCTTCGAAACAAACAAACACTGACCATCGAAAATACATCCAAACGTTTTTCTCAAGAGATAAGAGAATGCAACTTTTTACGTGTAAAAAGTGGCCATCGGGCAACTCACCTCCGTGTGGAGAAGGCGCGTTGGATTGTGACGAGGGCCGCTGCGGAGGGTTATATTCGGGATTTCCACCTGGTGGATAACCGTAACCGTAACCGTCCATCGAAGTTCCGCCGGATCCTGGTGGCGGAAAAGAATCCTGAGAATTGGAAGAGCCCGGTGAAGGCACCGAGGCAGCTTTAGCCGATTTCTTTTTTGAACTAGCTTCGACCTGATTGATTATAGGTTGAGGGTCGATACCGCCCCTGTCAAACTGGCATTCGTATGCTAGTAAATTTTTAGTGTAGTGTTTCCTTAAGGTGTAGGCGGCACTAGACGACGCTCCGATGCCCAACATACCGGCTATATCTTTCCACGTCTTGTTCTTTGTCACCTGAAAACGAAAATACGGTTCGGGTACAACATACGAGGAAAGTTATAGGTTGCCTATACCTCCATGAAGCCACCCCTGTCCTTGACATATACATACAAACGGAATAGATCAAGCGGATTCTTAGATATAGTAGGGCAAGTAGTGATAGGCGTTCTTCGTTCTTCCATGAAGGTGAGAAGTTTATCTAACCAAGCTCTTCTATCTGGACTGTCATCCATTTCGTATAGCTTACTGAGGCTGTCAGTTTTCTGGAAAAGCAATTTCAAGCAATGAGGAAAAATAAAGAACAGGGTTGACGGTCTAAGACAAGCACTACACAAAACATGCCTGGACATGCTACCACAAGCATTAGCACGACATTAAATAATATTATATATAAACCTTTGAGCGATACGTGTCCGGAGGAGGCACATGACTGTTAAACACCTGGAAACACCCGCCAGTTAGCTCAGTGAACACACTAAACAAACACAATTGACTTAAGCTTTTTGTTAAGTGGGAATCAAAACGGACCCACTGCAATTATTACGTTTCAAATCGACAATGAAAAATTGTATATAAATGCAGGTCCATACACAGTCATCAGTCACTAAGAACTCTGATCTACGGAAATAATGGTGGGTCTTCCAATTTTACTCAAAGATTAAAAAATTATAACAAAACAAATAAATAATAATAATAATAATAATAATTGAGTTACTTTTGCTGAATGCCACACAACTCGATCACACAATTTCAAATAATACTGTATGCATCTTAACAAAAATAACTTGTGTAGAGTGGTATACAAAACGAAATAATAATAATAATAATAAAAAAAATGTCGAAACACATATGATTGTGTGTGAACACTTACAATCCACTCGTTAGCGTCGTTGTACTTACAGGACTTGCGGGGGTCCGTGGCCAACTGGGACTGCTGAGTTCGTATTCGTCATGCATCGAGTTCATGCTTGCCGCGCCTGGCGATGGCACCGTGCTCTGTGGCGTCGTAGGGTGGCTGTAGTGGCCCATGTCATTTTTCCGATTCGATTTCGGCGTAGTACACTGGGGATCCTCGCCAGAAGCTGTAACCGAGAGTTAATAACCGTCCGACGTGAGTTGGCGGCGACCTTCATTACCTGCTGACGCGTTGGATAGGGTCGACTGCTGCGAGCCCTCGTCGATAGGCGTTCCGTCCGGCCCCGTCGTCACGACCGAAGTGACCGATCCTCCCGACGCCGTGGTCACGTGAGTGCTCATGCCCCCCTGCGCGGTGGTCGTGATGCCGTTATCCATCATTTCGGACCCCATCTGCGTGTGGGAGTTCGGTGTGGAGCTCGGTGGCGGCATGGGTCCGTCATGCGAATGGCTGTTCGGCATAAGCGGACTGCTCGCGGGCGGCATATTCGGCGGGCCCATCGTGGGAGGCGGACCCATGCCCGAGTGATGGTGGCCGGGTGGCGGCGGCCCCATGTGGTAGTTCTGCGGCGGGCTGGGGCTCGGCGGCGCCGAGCCGGACACGTTGCCGAAACCCATTTTGTGTTGCAGATGCGTTTTGAGGTAGTGCGGAGGTCTCGGCGGCCCCGGTGGGCCCGGCGACGGCGACCCGGGCGCCTGCGGAGGGCCGTTTCCCTTCGCCAGCGTGACCGGCCCCTGCCACGACTGCTGCTGGTACGGCGCGAACTGGGAGTTCGGCATGTGGTTGGACGACCGATTGGGATACTGCTGAGGGGACATGTTGTTGCTGGGCGGCGCCTGGGACGCCGGGGGGCCGTAGCCCTGGCCGGGGTACTGGATGTTGCCCTGGGGCCTCGGCGGGTAGCCGCTTTGCGGGTACTGCTGGTTGGGCTGGTAGAGCGGCATCTGCTGCCCGGTCGGGCCCGACACCATACCCGGATGGCCCTTATAACCGTGAACGTGGGCCGGATGGGGCGACGTGTGCTGCGCCGGATAGCTGCCCTGCGTTGCCATAGGCGAATGGCTCATTCGAGTTGATCCACTGCCATCGGATTGACCACTGGACGGCCGAGGAGGCATCGGAATGTTTTGCTGACCTGGAATAAGAATACACCATCTGCAACTATACCTCTGATACGGCTGACGGCTGAATGCTTCGAATTTGACACCTACGGGGAAACGCGTCGACGCCGTCGACCGCCGGCTGACAACGTTCGCATTCGCGTTTCGTTCGATCGCCCTTCGAAATGAGAAAAATTCACAACACTCCATTTTTAAAAACGCGCATGGCCTCAACTACAACGGCAAAACGAAATACGACGACTTATTTTTGGAATTCGAACCATTTAGAAAAGTGCAGCGTTAGGATTGGCGTAGGTGTGACTATACAGGTGAATGCCAGGTGACCAAGTAAACACCGATGATACAAACCTGTATCTCTTACACCATTAAAGATGTACTTATGAAGCGTCTCTAAGTCATTTAAAACCTACTTAGGTCACAGTGGTCAACATATTGACCCTGCCGTAATTAAAAAAAACACAGAACCTGCATACCTACGGTCGATCTAACGAAATGTTCAAAGTACTGACTACAATATCACAAGTTCTTTCGTACTTATTCGCATGCGAACGAACTTGAAAGACATTTTCAAAGATATTTTATTCCAGTGAAAGACGGGTGAGAAAAAAATTATCATTTTTACAACGTCGTTTTAATAACGGGGGAAACTTTGCAAACAATTCTTGTAAATATTTAGAGGCTTTACCAACTGCTTTTTGGCGTTTTGAATTCAATAAAGTTAAGTTCTTAATGGCACAAAGGAGACAAGTACGAAAGAATAAATATAATTCTCTTCAAAATCAACACGAAACAAACTTGGTCGCTGAACAACTTAAAAGACATTTTGAAATTTACCTTTATTATTCCATCCATATATATAATTACATGCAAACTGAGGTTCCCCGTGAAACGTCTAAAACAATGTATCTTTCTATAAGTGTTTGTTTCATTTTATTTCAGTAATAAAACCAGTGAATAATTTCGATTATAACCATTACAACGTACACACAACCACCCAAACAATCATTAATAATACACATTGACTTTCGTAATAAAACGGTACACTTAATCAACGAAATGTCATTCTAAAAACATAAAACGTACTGTTTCAAAAAACAATATTTAGAAGTGTGTTTTTCCACAATAAACATTTTTTGCAAACATTTTTCTTTTGGCAAAAAAATTAATTCACAAAGGTAAACTTTTTACAAAGTCAGCGTGTAAACGACAAAATAATGTTTTATTTAATTTAAAAGGGTCTCTTTGATGAGTGGACTTTATTTTCAAAAAAAGCTTTGTAAATATTTAGGCACATCACCAACTGTTCTTGACTACAATAAACTCTTTAATTACAAAGAAAAAAATGAGACAAAGATTAATATCCTTTTTTCAATTAATGTCACCAGAAACGTCGCTTTTAAATTCTTTGAAAGTACTGACTTTTTACATGTGTTGACACCTACCGCCCACGGGTTCCAACAACGCAAAGAAACTGACAAATTATAACACAGAATCCACGTATTTATGGACCCAGATGGGATAAAAAGAAATGATATGGAAGTTTTGAAAACATAGTATTTTTATCTTAATAGTACACTCTTGTGTATCCTTATACAAAATAATTTGTTTCCTACCGCACTTTCTTTTTGCAGTCTTCCCAAAGATAAAATGAAATTGCTATTTTTACTTTATTCCGAAGCCAACAACGAACGCGCGAGAAGAAAAATAATTATTTATTTAACCATGTCTTTTTAATAAAAAGGTAGACTGAACTTTAAAACACCCCTGCAAATATTTAGAGACTTTCCCAGCTCCTTTTTGATGTTTTGACTTTAATAAATGCTTTGTAACACAAAGGAGGAAACTCAGGGAAAGAATAAATCCTGTGTTCAGAATCAAAATAACCAAGGCACAAACTTTGCGTTTAAATAACTTATAAGTAATTTGGAAATTGTGTTCATTATTTTAATAACAAAGTTACGCATAGGGAAAGAATTCTAACGACGCAACGGATTAGCTAACAGCAAAAATGGCGCAGTCATATTTATAATCACACAAACGAAATAAGTTGCTTGTACGTTTATAAACGGCGAGAATATTTAGTTATTGAACGTCAATTTTCAAACAATATTCGAATACGTAAATATTAAATAGCAATGTGTTTGCGATTTTCTGCATATTTTTACAACAGCACTTATTCTAAAACGCAAGCAATCTAATCGAAATGTAGGACAAAACATATTGACTGGTGCCGAAGCTCATTTGCTACTCCAACGCAGAAATTTTCCTCTTTATCGACTCAAAAATCGACTTATTAAAAGAATCATTGTAGGCAAACAAAATTTTTTGTGGTTATAAAATATGTACTTTGCTATTACTAGAACATGAATAATAGAAACAATCACGAGCATAACAATGTTTTCCGTAAACGACAAACACATTAAATGTATGCCCTATAATTGAATATTGTTGTCAGTACGGGCAGGGAAACGTAGAAATTTAACGTTACTCCTCATAACGAGACAACATTTTTCGTGACAAACAGTACTTTGCCTCAAACTTTTTTAAATAAATGCATGGAAGAGAAATTAAGTGTCAGCACAGGCTTTTAATGTCCTTATAAAGAATTGATTTTCATTTCAAATTCAGTTGCTTAACTTTTTGTTACCGTAATTCGTTTAAAACTTTCAACGGCCAACATAATTTAAATATCAAACGGACGTTTATCGACATAATGTCGAACAAGTGAAGTTTGCGACTCGATCGATTTTCAATTGCTTGTTTGCAAAGTAAAAATCTCCACACGACTTGCCACAAATAATATAACACTCCATTTCTCAGCAAGCCGGTACGATAAGATCGTAAATCGGTTGTCGCTCGCGATCGTCTGCCTAAAAATTGCAACGACTTATTAACACCGGCGGCTGACTATAAAGTGCACTTCTAAAAAACGCGTTTCGTCTTAGTTCTAACGACGTTGTGTGAAGGTAGCGTAAAATCGACGAAACTAGAATTGAGCGGTCTACTAACACAAACGTAATGGCTAGACCGCTTAACTCAATATTGCTTTGTGAACGTTTCTTGAATAGGGTGAGGTTAAAGGTAAGACCAGCAACAATACTAAAACAAAGAGGCCACGTAACTTAATATAAATGGGTTTGAACCTCGCGGTTGTTACAAAAACAATACTGTCAAGCGAAGAAACCGACTTTGAATTCGAACGATTTCGATTTAAAATTTCAAAAAGCTGAATGCGAAAGCCGAGTTGTCGACTTGACCTCTCCACTCCAAAGTAGGTGTAAAGGGATGCAAGGAATTCATCCCAAGAAAGAGGAGATGCTGGTAAAGTGTGGTTTATTGTGCACCCGGAATGCCGGCTGAGGCAGTAAAATGTAGGTCAATGTTGAGGAGACCCGCATCCGCATTTTATCGAAGTTGCTCTCGGCAGTCAATGGGAGTGAGAGCACGTGGTTGGGGTTACACGCGAGTCACGTGGGAGAATGTATATACTGACCGACAGCAGGAGACATGGAGCGCGATCCCGTCGACCCCGTGGGAGAGGGTGTGGGCCTCATCCCTTGAGAGTTTGGGGTGCCCGGAGCTGGCCCTCCGGAACTGTCATTGCTGTTACCGCCGCTCAGGTCCTGAAACAGACAAAAATATCATTAGCACCGACGATCACGTGCCGAACAGAAAGCTAACAGGGGCGGAAGGCTGCCGCCTCCCCTCGCGGGAGGTGGACTCGGCCGCCCCGCCAGAACTCCCGGAGCAATTTGCATTCATTCAACTCATCACTCGTACATGAAATACGCGAGATGTTAAGCCTTGTTTACAATTGAAGGATAACAGATCGGTTGAATAATCCCCACAGACCCCGTTCCCAGCTTTCGAGGAGTTTTATCGTTCGTTTGATTGTTATACCAAGTTCTGGCGAAAAGCGGAATGGCGGCTCCCGACATAATCTCTTCCCTTCGCGACTTTAAACGCACTTTGTGAAAATACAGCTTATTTACAATGTGCGATCGACCAAAACGACATCAAGCGAGCAATTGATGTGCCACTATTTTCTTCGACGTATGGAACAACGGCATGTAGTTACGAAGACCAAAATAGTACTCCTTAACGTTTCTACTTCAAAAATTCCGTTCTGTTGTGGTGCGTGGCCCCAAATCTTATCGATTTTGATGGTCTGATCGTGATAATGTCGGAACCCTACCACAACGCTGCCCGCACCCTCCACGAGCTAATCCCGTTCATTTTACGACCCAATTACGACCTTGGACATAATTAATGAACCCACGTAAAAATAGAACAGAACAATCAAACAAGTGCATGTCTATTTTCATTCGTAGACGAAACGGGGTAGAAAGCATTGTTAAACACTCCCACCCACATTAACAAAAATAGCGATGTACCGTCTTATCAATTACCCCACATTATTGCCAAACCGCTGGCTTTTAGCGGTAATCGAATAACGTACTTGTCCCTGCGTTGTTTTAAAGTCAAATTATGTTGTTTACACATGAAAAAACTTACAAACATGCTAAACAAATGAAAAGATTAATTGACAAAACGTTAATTCAAATAGGTCCTATAAATCGTAAATTCAAAATGTGGTTTTAATGGATTTAAGCTTCAAGTTTACATCCTTTAATCCAGTCAAACCTCCGGCGATTCTTCAACTGAATATTCAGCGGTAGCACTAAGCTAAATTGAAATTTAACGCGTTGATAAAATAAAATTTGAGCAGCTACATGTCGATGGTGATTTAAATCAACACTCCATTGTAGCAGAAAGGTGTGCCCTAATATTACTATTTTTTCACAATTACCGTTACATATATATACTGTTATTCTCCTCCTTAACTATAGAAATTTAAAGTTCACAAATAATTAAAAACGATTGTACCTTTCTCGGGACACATAAGTTTAAATTCTCAAAGGTACCAACATGGTTGGCGAAAAGGGTTAACGTAATAGAAAAAACATGTTCTAAATTTGTTTTTGTGTCAACGATTCCAATACTTTGTAATACGGGTTTACTTTCGATAAATAAATGTACCATAATCCAGATAACCTCCTATCTGTTTTCTTGATTATTCGGTTCATTAAATGACGAGATTTAGTTTTGGGCGTGTGTGTGGAACACTAATTTCAGAGTGACAAAATAATCCGATACTTAACATTATCGTTATTATTATTATGAGTATTATTATCACATGGCCTGTCTGACAGGTAATGACACTAACTTCTGTTTTACACAACCTGTCATATTTTGTAGCCATCTATAACGATGCGATAATTTTCTGTTGTTATTTATAGAAAATGTTTTCTTTCATTTAAAAATCTCCACACTGTAATAAAAATTCTGATACTACTCTTGCAGCATCTTTAATCACACCATCAACTTCATAAAGCAATTCACTTTTATTTCCTCGGCAATAAAATGTCCAACTTCGTTCGCAGTATGTGTAATACGAAAACGCAAGTTTGGGTTAAACTTTAAGAATATAACGAAGATAAAAAATTAATGTCTTTATGCGCTGCAAAAAATTGATGACGTCATTCTAGAAAAATTATTGAACCCTGTTTTAAATAAAATAAATGTTAATACCCCAACGTCGAGTCGGTTCTTTGTAAACAATTTCGGGTGTTACTTTTTTCCATTGCGTGAACCTAAAGCAACAAAAACAACCAATTGGAAAACGGCGCAATCATGCGATCAATGTGTAATACCGCACATACTTTTGTTTCCACCCGTAATAAAAAAAATGTTAATATCGCTTGACGCTGTCTTGTGAGCGAAACTTCCAAGAACCGAGTTAAATTCCTCGTAAAATTATAAGCTGTTTTAAATTAGACCATCGTGTTTATTGCGCGAAGCTCACGTACGTCCTCGGTGTCCCTAAACAACGAGTTGAAAACCCTCCGAAAACGTGTGTCCTTTTCCAACAGCTGATTTTACGCTATTTATCCTACCCACCCCTCATCCCACAAGTCGGCCTTGCCCCTTTTAGGTCAGATTTAGAGAGGCTGCCGCTGCTGCTGGTAAATTTTCTGTTTACGGTTAACTTATTCCGACAATAAACAGGTTGTTAAGGCGGGACAAAGTGGAGAAGTCTGGATATGGAGTTTATGTCTCTATATTGTTAGATACAATCCGACGAACGATATTTATGAATATCCGATCGGATATCAAACAAAAGCACTTACTTTCGAATGGGTCGTTCCACGAATTCTTGGAAAATGTCGCGAGTGAAGATTTTACTGGAACTATATACAAAGTTTATGCTAAGCATACACAATACATTACCAAAATTGTTTTGGATAACTTCTACCATTCGATGGTTAGGAGGTCCTTAATTACCTCGTACTTGACACGACATTCTTATAATCACCCAGAAATCAGCTTTTTTGCATTATTGTAGCGGAGATAGAGGTGTACAGCCAACTGCAAACCTCAAAGTTACTGGAAAAACATTTAAAATACTGTGGAAAATCTAAAATGTTCGCCAACTATCGAACGAGTGTGTTTATTTATTTGCAAATGTCAAATTTGAATTAAATCGCACGTCGGAAACGGTAAGCGTAATTTATAGCTCGGTCAAAATAATACTCCAATTGTTTGTTGTTGTTCCGACAATTTAATGAATGAAACCAGCCAGGTTAATTAGGCTAGATAAGATTACGAATTTAAACGGCGAACGAAAAAAGAGGAGAAATCGTGTTTAATATTAATAACAAAGTCGTCATCCGATAATGGTAAGAGTGACGGTTTATCAAAAAGAATTGTAGTGTAGTGTGACGTCATAATATGAAATAAAATCGTTTATTATGCAAACAAAACAATGATTCACGTCTTGCATACAATCAAATTTATTACAAACTTAAACATACTCATTACGTACGATGAATAAACATTTCGTTATTAAAAAAAATCCGTCGAAATTCGTTACGTTGCGTTACGTCGAAACAACCTGTCCGGTGACAGCACGCCTATTTTCAATTTTCATTAACACATAAAAACTCAGTCACACTGACATCATTCCTTCTTTATTTACAATCGATAATTTTATTTTTAGATAACAACAAAATTAAATGTCAAACAAAACATAAGTTTCGTACAAGCACAAAAATTCGCTTAATAATTCATTGACCCGAAAAAAATGTTGAATAACTTTCGGTTTCGTCATTTTCCGCCAAGGTAAACAATTTGAACTGATAACATACCAGCAGCCGAGGAAAACAGTTGGCTCCGTTTCCACAGCGGGAACTAATCAAAATTCACTTACAAAACGGAACCGACCCAATATATATCATCGCAGAAAAAATCACGACAGCCTGGAATAAAACAAAAGCGCTTTGCGAAGTCAGAGCGCGGAGTCCGCTGGAAGATGTCAACTCCCGCCGCACGCCAGAGGGCGCTCGCGCCAGCGTAGATGCGACATTATGGCGTTATTGCAATATGCCATGTCATAACGTGTATTTCGATTCGGAAAATAGACGAAAACGTCCCGGACGATAAGACCAACCGAAGGTAGGTTAACAGATAACAGTCGATATGTCGTAAATGTAAATAACGAATTACGTCGGGTTAGCGGATACGTGTGGGTTAAGACGAAATCGCGTGCGGTTTTCCAATAAGAAAACGCAAGAAGAACGGCCAGGAATAATTCCAACACCGCAACTTCAATTTGTTAGAAAAAATTGCGACTTTTTGCTAACGTACAGGAAGACACGCAATGCATTACAGGAGATCGCGGCTTCCAGATCAAATTTTGCGGTGAAAAATAACCGACACTGTTGCAGATAATGATGCAGTAAACCATTAAATCCTCCGTTAGAATATGCAAAATTCCTTGTTATCGACGGAGCAATAATTAAGTCGGCCTGTAATTAAGTAGATGCAGTTTGCTGAAAAACCATGAATATGAAATTTATTACGCTTTTCCCGCGTCTTTATCTCAGCGGTAAGAAAATCGAGATAATGATGCTCGCAAGACAAATCTCAATCAGCCGGCGTCCTTGAGGATAACCGATTCCAGTTCCTGGAACTTTTACCGGCGTGCAAAAACTATGCATCCTTCGAGTTTCGCAAACAAATTAACACCACTTATATTTGAATTGTTTTTGTGGCTTTCTGAGGGGAAAAGTACACACGAGCACCGATCTCGAAGCTTATCTTGCGCCAATAATTTCGAGATAGCTCGAAATTGAAAACGATAATCTTTTCGGCAAATTCATAGAACAAGCTATTTGCTCGAGATTACATTGACAGCAATAAATGTCTACACTTTATCTAAACGGAATAAACATCTTAAAGAAATCGACATTTATGAAACAATTTGAATCGCCACATTATCGTTAGCTTTATATTTTATAAATGTTGAAGCAATTACCCCAACTGACCCTGTCATGTGTCGGCTCTTTTACATTCTATGGAACGTTTCGCTACGAGCTTACAGGAAATTATTCAATACTCGAGTAAAACATCTGCGAGTAAGGCGAGCTTGGAATACGGAAGTAATGGATTGAGGTTTAGTCAGAATAAAAACCCATCGAAACTAATTGATAACTCAAAAAGAATGGATCGGACAATCAGGAATGTCGGTTTTTGCCCGACCGAATGCCATTACAAAAGACAC